TTTTAGGTGAAATTGCGCATACAAAATAATCTGAAAAATCGAAAGGTAAATATTCATAAATTTACCAGGAAATTCGTGTTTTATCAAAGAAATTTGGCAACGCCAGAAGGTTCATACGGCGTTTTTCCTTAGCACGGCAGTGCAAAAATGTGATCTTTTCTCAACCGCTGGAAAATTCCCATTTACGCTGCGATATTGAAGCGAATAACGCTTCGTTTTTATCATTTTGTGAAATCGCTCAAGAAATCGCATATTTGCCGCCATTCTGAGTTGATCGTGGTGTTATTTTCTTCCCTTTTTCTTTTTTTTCTACTTTTTTTTACTAAATTGTCGCATGAATCGAGCATTTCTCGCAATAATGATATGAAAAGCGCCTGAATTCTCATGATTTAACGAATTTACCGGAAAAATCGCGTATATTTGTAAATGTTGAGTTGAAATCGGGTTATTCCATGTCAACTAGTGCCACTTAGAAAAAGTAACACCCTCAGAATTTGATGAAATTCAAATGTAAAATTTTCCAACGATTGTGCAAGAACATGAGAGATCACGTAATTTTCACTTTAATTTTGCGGAAAATATGCGATTTTACAAGCGATGCTGACAGGGTCGGACTGGCTCGCCTCTGAGGGCGTAGACCCTTGTCTGGTTAAGAGGCATAAAGTGATTATATTTCCTGATGGGGCATTCCCAACGTGGAAAGAGGTTCAGAAAATTTTGTTAAAGCAGCACAAGTTTACGCAATTTTCAGGTTCAAAGTTTATTAATCGCACCGAGTAAAAATTGCAAAGTTGAACGTATTGAAGTAACCGACAGACCTCTGAAATTAATGAAAACATAAAAAATTAAAGCCACTAGACGCATCCAAGCACAATTATTTGCAAAAGTACCAAGCCAGTGTTGCGGTTTACACTAGCTTAAGACTTTTCTGAAAATCCATCCTAAAAAAATAATCAGACAAGAACCTGAAAAAAGAAGAAAGAACGAGTATCAATACACCGAAGACAGGGAAGACGTATTCGGGCCTCCTCTTAACTTTTCGCCCGAATCTGAGGGACACCTCATTGACAGCATATAACAGAGCATTGAGAGCTCACGCTTCGCGTCATCGCGCCTTCACTTTTGCAGATGCAGCACGGATGTCCATCGAGTACGAATAGTTGTATCTCTGCGCCGTCGTTAAAGCGCATCCTTTCCCTCGCTTTATTTCCATATTGTGTTTGTTTGAGTTTCTGTTATTCGTAACGGTGCTTCAAGCACTACGTGAGTAACACAGCCGAAGGTAGGGTAGATTTGTTCGGGCTTCTTTTTTAGCTTTCCTCCCGAATTTCCTCATTGACAGCATTTAACAGAGCATTGAGAGCTCACGCTTCGCGTCATCGCGCCTTCAATTTTGCAAATGCAGCACGGATGTCCATCGAGTACGAATAGTTGTATCTCTGCGCCGTCGTTAAAGCGCATCCTTTCCCTTTATTTCCATATTGTGTTTGTTTGAGTTTCTGTTATTCGTAATGGTGCTTCAAACTAGTAGCATAGAGCAGATCATTGCGAGTTCCCAACTCACGCCATCGCGTCTCACATTTTCATATGCAATGTGGATATCCATCTTGCGCGAATAGTTGTATTGCGTTTACACTTTAGATGTCTCTCTGCCAAAAGCAGATTGGCCTTATGGCCAGCCCGAGCCTACATGCTAACATCAATTTCATAAATGTTAGTAATTTGCGACAGGGGAAAAGATAAGATTTTCCTTCGATTGCGTAGGATACCAAATGCCTACTCCGGAGTTCGAACAGTTGCTCGTTTTATTTCCGTCTGTGGGAAAGTGGGAAATTATACGTGAATTGGGTCATTCCATGCCGACTGGTGCCACTTTGAAAATGTGACCCCCTCAGAATTTGAATAAATTTAGCGTACTTAGTGTACACGCATATCTCAGTAAAACACCAACATTTTAAATCAATTCGACCACCCGTTGAACTTTTATTAGACACTGAAAGTTGGCCTCTTTCGGTATATACCGTTACGAGGTTACACATCAATAAAGTGGTGGCATCCACCGAGAGAGGCTAACTTCCAGTTTCTAATAAAAGCTCAACGGGTGGTCGAATTAACTTAAAATGTTGGTGTTTTACTAAGATATGCGTGTACACTAAGTACGCTAAATTTAATCTAATTCTGAGGGGGTCACATTTTCAAAGTGGCACCAGTCGGCATGGAATAACCCAATTCACTTATAATTTCCCACTTTCCCACAGAAATAAAGCGAGCAACTGGAGTAGGTATTTGTTATCCTACATTATTGACGGAAAATGTTATCTTTTCCCTGTCGCAAATTAGTAACATTTATGAAAATGATGTGAGTATCGTTATAAAATCGCATATTTTACGCGAAATGGAAGTGAAAATTACGTGATCTCTCGTGTTCTTACACAACTAGAGAAAAATTTTAAATTTGAATTTCATCAAATTCTGAGGGTGTCACTTTTTCTAAGTGGCATTAGTTAGTTGTCATGGAATGACCCAATTTCAACTCAAAATTTACACACACGCGCAATTTTTCTAGTAAATTCGTTAAATCATGATCTCTCATGTTCTTACACGACCGGTGGAAAATTTGAAATGCCAGGATACTGAAAGCGTAATTTTGTATCATTACATTTAATCGCTTGAAAAATCCTCTATTTGCCGCCATACTGAGTTGATTGTGGCGTAATTTTTCATTTTTTAATTAAATCGGTGTAAAAAGTGAGCATTTCCCTCAGTGGCGAAATGAAATTTCGCGTAATATCTCTACTTCCTCGTGTAAATGCCGCGATTTTGACAAAAATAACGCGCGCTTTCTTATTATATTAATAAAGCACTTGAAACTTTCCGTATTTACCGCGATAGTGAGCTGATCATCGCCCTCACTTTTTTGCTGAATCGCAAAAATATCGGGCATTTCTTGCAATCTTCTATGTGCGTAATTTCTTATGATCAACTGGATCTGCTGGAAATTTCGCTTATCTCCCGCGATATAGAGATGAAATTCTCGTAATTTCTCACTTTTTCGCATGCGGAACACAAACGAGCAACTATTCTAACTCCGGTGTAGGTATGTGGTATCGCGCGGAATGGAAGGAAAATCTTAGTTTTTCGCCTTCCGCAAATTACTAATGTTTATGAAAATAATGGTTGCATCGTTTAAGAAATCGCATATTCTCCGCCAAATCAAAGCAAAAATTGTGTGATCTTTCACGTTCTTACACAGCCGAAAGAAAATTTGTATATTCGGCGGGGTGCTGAGGTAAATAACGCGTAATTTTGTATAATAAGTTTACAAAACCGCTTGAAAAGTCGTACTTTCTTTGCGATTTTGAGGTGACTATACATCGCGTGATCCTTCCAGTTTTTTGTTTGTTTTTTACGCGACTTCCGCTATGTAACAAGAAGAGAAGCTCGTCATGTCTTATGATTTAACGAATCTGCGAATCTGAAGTAAAGCGTATCTCTCGTATCGTAATTTTGAGATGGAATTGATGTAATTCCTCACTCTTTTACCAAACAGCTGCATGAATAATGAATTCAGATGTGTTGCTCGCATGGTTCCTTGCGGTAATCGAGCGAGCAACTATTCGAACTCCGGAGTAGGCACGTGGTATCACGCCAAATGGAAGGAGTTTTTAGAATTTTCCCCGTCGCAAATTCCTAACGGTTACTCTTGAGGCAGAGTTTTCAAGAATACGAATTCGATAGCAATATGTGACAATTAATTAGCCATTAAATTCAAATACTGGGGATTAAAAATTGTCAAAAATAGGGATCTCGTATTGATAAATTGCAATTAAGTAGATATTTCGTTTTCCAAAATCGGACATGACTATTCATGAATAGCAAGTTTGTATTTCGCATGTAGATTAAAATTGTTATTTAGTAGAAGTTTTATGGCAATGAATATAAATATAATGGACTCTGAATCATCACTATCAATCTTGTAATTCTACTACGTGGGTAATGTAGTTTATCGACGGCGAAAATGCAAAAATGCGTATCTCGATTGCGGTGTTTCAAAATCTCCGCTCCTATTTGTTAGAAGGAGACCAATCCGACATCATCGCTTGAAATTTTCATGGAATATTTTTCGAATTGATAAGAAAATCGCCGGAGTTTTCAAGAAATGTCAATGCAATTAGTAGTGACTATCATTAAGGCAATAAAAGTTAGAACTAGTACTTTGCTCAATGGCTTAATTATAACTATCTCTATAATAATTTCTTTTGAATAAAATCTTGATATAAAAGGAAGAGCACATAAAACTATGCTTGCTACATTAAAAGAACTATTTGTTACTAGAACCTCGAGTTAGGTTAGTATTACTTTTTCGATGTCGAAAATTATGTATGACGGGAAGTCTGCAACGCCTCAAATCGAGATGCGCATTTCTCCAGTTTCACCTCCGTCATATGCCACCAGTAGTTTCCCTCATAAATCCATACTCTCACCGACTCCTCGACTTAAATTGACGAAAATCTCACTTTGGAAACCAAGGTGCCTCGCTCAAACATATGCTGACGTATTTCTGCCAAACGGAACTTCGTGCATTATGACGTGAGCCCTGTTATGTATATACTCTTATAGATCTCAAGGCTTGGTCGTAAGGCACATAGCTTTGTCTGACAGAAATATGTTCACGTATAAAACACGCAATTGTTTGTTTCACGAAATTCGCGGATGAGCGAGACTGAAATTCGCGGATGAGCGAGACTGAGACTCGCGAATGGCAAATCCGCGAATAACGAGGGACGACTGCGTTTTACTTGAAAGGCCTGGTGACACGATCAAATCGACCCATCAAATTGGGCCTCTCATTGGTCGGATCTTCACTTCGGGTCTTTTTCCACCAATCAGAGCTTCAGTTTGATGGCTCAATTTGATCGTGTAGCTGAACCTGAAGATGCACCTTGTGTCACTGTTTTTTCTCTATTAGATATTTTATCTGTTTTCTTCTTTTGTTTCAGCAATGGGTTGCGGATGCGATCGTCTTTCAAGAGACGATAAGCAGACTGCTCGGCTACACAGAACACCACGAAGTCCCAGAAGGCCGTCTGGAAGAAAAAATGAAATACTATTTCAAACTGATCGGAAATGATTCCGACCCCGGAAAAACGTGGAAAGCAGTGACGCAAAGAATCCGAGACGAAACAGAGGCATCGTTTTCCAGTAGGTTACAACGCTGTTACTATTTGAAGCCCATCTTCATAAGCGTCATCGATCTGGATTTCGAGAAATCGGGGAACTGTCTGGTATTCCGAATTTTAAAGGAGAAAACAGGTTGCTGCTTCTACGTCGACGAAGCTCGCACTTACGAGACGTGGACCGATTACTTAGAGAACAACATTTTACCCAAGTTACACTTGATTTATCCCTACGGAGGGGATTATAAAGCCCGAACGGAAATCGTTCTGGCAGAATCAGTGGCTTGCTCGCCTGTGAAACTAGCGAGGAAAATTACGAAGATATTCGCAACGACAACAGCTCTGACATCGACTGTTGCTCTAGCAGCCGTTCCTTTTTGCCCAATTCTTGCCCCTGCCGCGTTGGGCTTGTATATCACGGCTGCCAGCAGTGGTATTGTCATGGGAGTGGATGGTGTCGTGAATCTGGTGGATTTAGCTAAGCACAACGAAAGCTTAAATGTCACCAATAGCCGTGCTCTCGATGCATACGTAGATATAGGCTCAGCTTGCGGTGGTCTTATCAGAGGTGGGGCTGCAACCGCTGCCTCACTTCTGAAAAGCGAAGCAGAGACGCTTACAAAAATATTAAGAGTCATAAAAATCGCTGGCAGCACAGTTCAGAATGTCTCATTACTCGTCAAATGTCTGAATCATGAGTTCGGCGAACTAAGCCTCGATGACCTGAAAGCTTTTTGCTTCAGCTTCTTGAATACTGATCTGGAAACAGCTGTCGGGTGGGCTAAACCCATGATTCAGTTATTCCTCGCCGGTGTAGCTATCTACAGAGGTGATCCCTACACCGTTTTCCGAACGCTGCGGTCGGCTAAAGATGTCGCCATCCTCGTCTTTAGCTATGTGCTGCCGGAGATTTTATCATATTTCGGACCTCAGATCAAGGAAATGGCCACTTATTTCGGAAATCTGTTTTGTAATCAATTTAGGCATCGACTCCCCGAGATAATCGACGTGAAAACTTTCGACCGAATGGGAGACGACCTTCTCGCTCTGATCGGTAAAATTAATACATTCTTCCAAATTGCTGATCCATTGGATGTCAAATTTAATGGTGTCCAGTTCTTCTTAACGTTTTCCATTTCCTCAATAAGAATTGCCTGGAAGGCTCTGCGAGAACATGCAGAATGCACGAAAAAGAGGCACTCTTTGACGCAACCTCAGTTAGTCAAACTTTGGTTTCAGTTCATGGACCTAATAAAGGTACGATCACCTCAACACCTAATTAACGGCACTAACTATTTTCTAATACAACTAGAAAAATGCTCACCAGAGTCGACTCGCCTTCTATCAAGCCATTTGGTCACTCCTTGTTATCCACCAAAAACATATCCGTTATCAAAGTGGGCGGATCGATTCACCTTCGAGAACGACCCTGAGACTCAGTTCAACGTGGATAAACCAGAATTCACTATGGAAGGAATAGCAGTTCATATATTCTATTCGCCCAACTTAAGCAATGAGTTAACCAAGGAATTGAAGCAAGATTATCGAAACAAAGTAGAATGTATTTTACGCAAGAAAGTAACCAAAGAAAATTCAAAATTCGACAAAAACGGCAACGGACGCAATGCTCTCCTGAACCTTTCTCCATGCCATGAAGTTAGAAACGTCGTTTTTAATAGAACTGTATTAAAAAATGGGAACGCTATGGTTTTTGTAACAACTCTGAAAAACGGTGCAGGAGACCGAAGCGCCTGGGACAGAGAAATGGCAAGACGCCTGTATAGTTAGAAATTCGTCCTCAAATTTTATTGTCAATTAATTATTTTTAAAAAATTTCCTTTGATTTCACTCATTCGTAGTTTTTAAGGTAGGTTTATACCTTTTTTGTTTTAAGATCACATATCTACCTAAGCCGAAGTGCCGTCATTTTGTAAAAACAATCAAGTGCACTGCTTGGCAGGAAGATCCTCCTAGCGCACCCAAACCTCGAGCGTTACCCTGATAACGTTTTGAAACCACCCTAATAGTACTGACTGATAATGGACTTTAAAAGAAGTGTAAGAACTTGTCAAAATGAGGAGTTGGAAAACCCTCTATGATCTCTTATAAGTGAAACTTTCGTAAAACTGTTTTAAAAGTTTTGAAAAAAAAAAAACGGCTTTAAAATTGTGTCACTTACATATCCTAAATATCACGACAGTTGGTGTCAAGTACAAAGTAAACTAAAAATATGCATCGTAAAAATATAAAATTGTACATATGTAAAATGTATGCAGTTTTCTTAAAAATCTACTGAAGTAAAGTGATGAAAAACTTCCCGATGCAAAAAGAAAATTGTAAGGTGGTATTTTTACGCAAAGAACAAAGCAAAAGGGGTTTTGTATCAAACATTCGAACAGTTTTTTAAATAGTTTCCTCTTTACGAACTGTCAATTTTTTTTTTTTTAGTAACAGCCAATGCCACTAGGGCTACATTGAATGCCCAGACAAATTTTGGTCTTAAAAGGGAGGCGGAGTCAAAACGGCAAAGAGGGACTCTGTAGCACTGGTTAGGTGCCTTAAACTGTAATTACAATATGGCCTAAGTGTGCGATGTCCTTCCTTTCGAAAGAAAATAAGGTGGTCTGTGAAGTGAAGCATCTTCAGTGTTCATTTGATATTGAATAATGTGAAGCCACTTCTAACTGCGAGTTGTGAGTAATGTTATAGTTAAATTTTTATGCACCGGATGAAATAAAAATGTATTTTTATAGAGCCAGCAGTATTATTCTCATTATTTTCAACCCTGCACACGTGGACAAAGTTAACGAAAAAGAAATGATCTACTCTACTAAACCGTTAGGGACAGTTCATTGGCGCGGCGTGCTTTGCGATGTATCCATTGATTTGCCATTTAAACCATGGAAAAGGATCGATATAGGTGCATGGTGTTCGCAACGAACACCCTAAAAATGGATTCTTCACCCTACCCAGGTAGCATTGTCATCTACTTTCTAGTCGGCGCTCATCAAGAAAATGTCTACTTTCTAGATAGAACAATTTTCTTGAAAGAAAATAGGTATGAAGTAGATCTAGAAAATAGTAAGAAAATACATTTTTTCCTTTCATTTTCTTAAAAGAAAACATCATGAAATTGGCTAGAAAATAATTCTACTTTCAATAAATATTTAAATATCTTTTTTCTAAATGGGAAGTTGACAGAAAGTAGACCTATGAATTATATACTGATTAGAAAAGAGAAAAGTACATGTTAACTTAAAGATGGAAAAAAAGCATCTCTGAAATCGCAGGGAGTCAGCAATCGCCGGCAATTTGCAAGCTCCGTACTTTTCAATTCGTCAAATTGTAATTACGATAACATCGAAATAGTAAAGATTTCTGTACGCCTTCAAATCCAGCGATACTATCCGCTTTGCCATGGAGTTAGTTTAGTTGCTTAACCGAACGTAACACCGATTATTGATGACATTTCAGGAACTCGCGAGTGTGCTAGCTGGCACCACGTATCCAAGAAGAAGAGGCTAACATACGTTTGAATTCAAAGCATAAGTAGGTAATAATCCCTACTTCCAATCTCGTTTTTTCACTTTAAAACGATTTAATTTGTTGATTAAACACGAATAGATTGCAATTTGCCGGCGATCGCTAATTGCCTGCAACACATATAAGGAGAATTTTTGTGAAGAAATTAATGAGAAAAAAAAATTACTGACTGAACAATCATAATCACTGCCTGTGGAAATGTTAATTAAACGATACTAAAGCATAATAGATGGTGAAAGTGCAGAAGTGCGAATCTCGGAAAACAAGATTTTCCAGGAGAGTAAAAAAACTGTCTGCATTCCTCTTTATTGTCGGTAGAAGGGATTAACCTTCTACCCTTCTTATTAATAATTCTTGAGGATGGCAAGAATAAGATGTTTTTTCAAACTCCATCAGAAGTTTCAATATTTTCTCGAACTGTTAGAAAATACGGCAGAAATGCCGAGATTCGCGTTTTCGGCACTAAGAATCGACCCTTCATCAGTAGATTCGCATTTTTGCACTTGGTGTTTTAAACTTGTTGGTGGTTTTGGATCATTTAAAGACGGAAAAAAGGGTTTCACACTTAAATTTCCTTATCAGATAAGATTTAGTTGGTCATCGATGCTCCATTAATAATCCATGCTTTACGCTTTCCGAATGGACCAGTGGACAAAGTACTTTTTCTTCAATGGAGAATTTGCAAGGGTCTGAAATTTGATGAATTTCCTGTTTAAGTGGAATCCTCTGAGTGAACTGAACACGAAGATACCCTTGATTCATAAATTGAGCAATTATTAGAGGAGATATGACAAAATAACCGATTCTGCTAAAATACATGTGTTTAAATGGGAAATGCCGCCAGATGACGTCACAAGGCGGCACATTTTCTCACTCTTAAATCAATTTTTCTCCAATTTCCCATGTCAGAAAAAAATTATGAAAAATATTGCGAACTCAGCTCATTAGGCACTTTCAGATGAAGCAATAAAAAAATTGCGTGCAAATTCTCCATTATGGTTATTCACAGTTAATCAAAGAAAACTCATTTTATCCGTGCGAAACTATTTAAATTCACGACCGCTTTTGAGTGAGTTGCGATCTTGTAAACGGCGACTCTTTCAGTTTCACTTCAGAATACGATAACCGAACCTAGGGACTTAAAATACACAATCTGATCCAGCCGCCTGCGCTCTCTTCATTTAAAAAGGACGTAGATACCAAAAACAATCTTAATATAATTTCAAAATAATATTCCTCGGCATTTTCCCAATATGCAACTCGATTTAAACACCCAAAATTATGAACTTTTTGGTCAACATCATTGTACAATAAGGCCACTCATAATGGATACTGAAGAGCGCCTTTAAATCAATCCGTAAACTTAATGTAAAATTCTGATACCACTATTCGTGCGTCACGGCAGTCATTCTATTCTGCATACCCGGCCATTTGAAGGCGTCTCGTTGACCTCAGGCAAACTGATCAAGAACGAGTGTTTCTGGCCACTTTTTGAGTTTTTCTCTGGATCGTCTTCCGCGGTTAGCTCGAAGCGAGAGACTAGCGGAGCTTTTCCGACTGGAAAATCGCACTCAGCGGGTCAATTTCAAGTGAGCTTGCTTGGTTTCGGCCGTATCGGCGAACTTTCAATGGACCACTAGACAAGGTACGAATTTCAGCATTCTGATACATGTTTCTTCACCAAAATGTCACGTAAAACACGATGCGCATAACGAAAATTACCGAAATCAGCTCCTTCCGAAGATATTTAATGATTCTTGGTGCGTGAATTGAAACCACCCGCTCATGAAAACTCAATATGCTCTACGTGATTCACATCGCGCGCTAGACGTTATCATGAACGTCTCTGCGATAAAAAAAGTCTGGTAACCTCAACTTGACGCTTTGGCTCAGCTGTAGCAAATTGCTTGTAGTTTGAACAACACATGGTGAGACATGAACATTGCTTGACTGAGAAGCTTGCTGGAACCGTCGTAGCGGGCGATTTGACTCACGTAGAGCTTTGAGTTTCTTGTGAGCGGGCAGTTCAAATTCCTCGTTACCAATGTGAAATAAAAACGTTAATATTTTCATTTGGAGTTGGTTTCAGTAATTTTCGTTGTGTGAATCGTGTTCCACGTGAAATTCTGATTCAGAAACATGCATCAGATTGCTTAAATTCGTACCTTGTCTAGTGGTCCATTTTGACCCTAAGAATTCAGACCATGTAACCTCTGTCGATTTTCCTCAATTTTGGATTGAGGAAAAAAATCTCGAGATATCAGTCGCGTCCAACGTAATTGGTGTCATAAAATTGATTCCGCACGGTCCCGACTCTCGGCGAGGCTTCCTGTGCCGAGAAACAGTCAAAAACGAGCTTTTGTGACCACTTTTTGCCTGTTTCTCTGGAGCGTTTTCAGTGGCTAGCTTGAAGCGAAAGGACCCGCGGAATTTTTCCGACTGGAAAATCGCAATCAGCGTTTCAATTCCAAGCGAGTTTACTTGGTTTCGGCCCGATGGGCGAACTTTCGATTTGGACGCTAAAAATTTAGTCCATTTAACCCCTGTCAAGGAGACCCAAATCAAGACTAAATTTTTCGGGTCAAAATCGAAAAATCGCCGATCGGGCCGAAACCAAGTTAGCTCGTTGGAATTGACCCGCTAAGTGCGTTTTTCGAGTCGGAAAAGCTCCGTCAATCCCTCGCTTCGAGCTATCCGCTGAGAACGCTCCAGAGAAAGAGGCAAAAAGTGGTCAGAAAAGCTTGTTTTTTACTTTTTCTCGGCTCAGAAAACCTCGCCGAGAGTCAAGATCCTGCGGAATGGATTCTACGCCTCTAACGACGTAGGATCCGACTGAAATCTAGAAATTTTTTTTCTCAGTCCAAAATCGAGAAAAATCGGCATGGGTTACATGGACTAAATCTTTCGGGTCAAAATTGAAAGTTCGCCCATTTTCAAGCGACCTTACTTGGTTTCGGCCCGATCGGCGAACTTTTGATTTTGACGATAAAAATCTAGTGCATGTAACCCCTGTCGATTTTTCTCGATTATGGACTGAGGTAAAAATTTCGAGATTTCAGTCGCATCCGACGGAGTTGGAGGCGTAGAGTCGATTCCGCACGGTCCCGACTCTCGGCGAGGCTTCCTGAGCCCAGAAACAGTCACAAACTGGTCATAAACGAGCTTTCCTGACCACTTTTTGCCTGTTTCTCTGAAGCATTTTCAGCGGGTAGCTTGAAGCGAGGGACTGACGGAGCTTTTCCAACTTGAAAATCGCACTGAGCGGGTCTTTTCAAGCGAGCTTACTTGGTTTCGGTCCGATCGGCGAACTTTCGATTTCGTCGAGCCTAGAAACAGTCAAAAACAAGCTTTTCTGACCACTTTTTGACTCTGCCTCTGGAGCGTTTTCAGCGGGTAGCTGGAAGCGAGGGACTCGCTGAGCTTTTCCGACTGGAAAATCGCACCCAGCGGGTCAATTCCAAGCGAGCTTACTTGGTTTCGGCTCGATCGGCGAACTTTCGATTTCGACCCTAAAAATTTAGTCCATGCTCAAAAACAGGAAAACAGTTGAGGTTTAGGTTGAAAAAAAATCTTTTTGGATCATAATCTCAAATAGCGTAGAGACCATAAAAGTAAAAAAATGTGAAATTTATTAATCTAATTTTATTGTTTGTATTAATAAAAAATAACTCACTTTTATTATAATAAAAAAAGCAGGATTGGATGAATTCAAAAGGATAGGCTAGTATTAAATTCAGTTTAAATTTCATTTGAATAAAGGGTTAATAAAACAGAGAACACAAAAGCTTGAATAACGCAGACAAAAAATTCAAAAAGAAATAAAATCAACTGAACCAAAAATATATAAAACCCACCATTTCCTGAGAGAATCATTAATGAATGACCTAAATTTTCAATTCCTTAATTTTCCTATCGATTTTTCTCGATTTTGGACTGGGCAATTTCTTTTTGAGTTTTCAGTCGTATCTTACGTAGTTTGAGGCGTAAAATCAATTCCGCACGGTCCCTACTCTCGGCAAGGCTTCTTTAGCCGAGAAACAGTCAAAAACTGGTCAAAAACGAGCTTTTCTGACCACTTTTATAAATTTAGTCCATGTATCCCCACAACCATATATTTCCACATCCACGTATCTTGCTTGCGCTGTTTGAAAATCTCTGCCTCTATATTATTTTTTTAAATGAGAACAAATTGACCTAATCCCTTTGAGTTTTTGCAGAATTTTCTTCGCACAGGTAAGAAAATCAACGGCTGTGTTCATGTTCATGAATCGCCTTCGAGTAGATTTCCGTTTAAAAATTAAAGTAAGACAGGAAGTCTGCAGCGCCGTATCGTCGCAAACCAAGATATGTGGTTGCGGACTTACACCGTTGACATTTGTCAACCCATTCACTGCCTTCTTCTCCTCCAAAATCGAGAAAAATCGACAGGGGTACCATGGAGTGAAATTTCGGGGTCAGAATCGAAAGTTCTCCGATCGGGCTGAAACCGAGCAAGTCCCCTTGGAAATGACCCGCTGAGTCCGTTTTTCTGGTCTAAAAAGCTCTGCGAGTCCGCTGGTCCGTTGGATCGGCGAAAACGCGCGGTCGGTGAACTTTCGCAAAACGGTCAAAAAAACCAGTGTTTTTGACCCTTTCTCGGCTAGGAAAGCTCCGCCGAGCCTCGGGACCACGGGGAATCCATTCTACGCCTCCAACTATGTAAGATCACACACTATCAGCTCGAAATTTTTTTTCTCCTCCAAAATCGAGAAAAATCGACAGGGGTACCATGGAGTGAAATTTCGGGGTCAAAATCGAAAGTTCTCCGATCGGGCTGAAACCGAGCAAGTCCCCTCGGAAATGACCCGCTGAGTCCGTTTTTCTGGTCTAAAAAGCTCTGCGAGTCCGCTGGATCGGCGAAAACGCGCGGTCGGTGAACTTTCGCAAAACGGTCAAAAAAACCAGTGTTTTTGACCCTTTCTCGGCTAGGAAAGCTCCGCCGAGCCTCGGGACCACGGGGAATCCATTCTACGCCTCCAACTATGTAAGATCCGACACTCAGTTCGAATTTTTTTTCTCCTCCAAAATCGAGAAAAATCGACAGGGGTACCATGGAATGAAATTTCGCTTGATTTCAGCTTGAAGCGAGAAAAGCTTTTCAGCTTGATTTCTCGGGGGCCCCCAAAAAATTTTCCAAGTTCTGATTTTAACTAAGCTAATGTTTTAAAAGAATGTTAAGTCCTTTCCGATCAAAATCGGATCAGTAGAACCCGAGATATGGAATGTCCATTGTATAATGGACAAATTCAGGCAATGAACTTTTATGACCACGTGAATCGAAGCGCGGTTTCGATGGAAGGGGGGTATTTTGATCCTTGAAATTAAAAAAAAATTGCAATAGCTAAAATTTCATAAATATTTCCAATTTTAAGACGAATTCTATCCGGCGCTTTAAGGCACAAATGTAAACAGAGGCATTTCAGCTTATTTGGAAAAACGAAAAAATGACAATTTTTAAGTAATCCTAGTAAATCCCCAAATCGTAAGAATGAAAGCGCTGCTCATGACAAATGCCGCTGAAGATAGTTTACGTTGAATAATAAAACTAATCATAACAATTCCTTTGATTTAACTTGATTTTCAAGTACCCAAAATGATGTCCATTGTAATGCTAGCAAAGCTAGCAAACGGGTTAAGATGTTACGCTGGAATGCTTCTCTCTGAAAATTGAAAGCCCCCGAGATCTGAAAGGTCTGTGAGACAGAGAAACCTGAGTGACTTAAATGAATCGCGTTTAACAGAAAGGAATCGAGGCACATCAGCTCTTGCCAAATTTAATTGGGCAATTTAATTTTTAGTGAGAGAACGTTTGTGTGGATTCCTTTGAAAATTTTAAGGAATTTGCTTCTTACTATGCGGAGAATTGACTGAAATTTGCACACATAAATTCGCACAACCGTTTTAAAGTGAAAACTTAGATTTGGCAATAGCTGATGTGGCTTGGTTCCTTTCTGTTTAACGCAGTCCAAATAAAACTCGCTGATATTAACCAATTTTTGGAGGTTAAAAGGATATTATGACTACATGGCACTGCATTTACTTCATCAACGTTCATCGAGGTAACATCACTTGTTTGATACTTTGACAAGGAGTTCTTTTTTCTAATTCGATATGTACCTACTCAAAAATATGTTAGATAATTCTGACCACTAAGGAGGTCAAGCTATCAATATAGCATGGAGGAAGCATTTATCCCTCTGAAAATGTGTCCTTGAGAAAACAGGAATAGTCATAAAGGATCAATGCCACAGTGTTTGGAACAAGTGAATTATAATAGGAATAGTTATGAACTTATTCAGTGATTTTTTTCCCCTGTCTAAATTAAAGGGAAAACAAATATTCCGGATTTTATAATGGGGATGAAACTGAATTTTCCACATTGAGTCTCGCAGAGGAGTAAGATTTCAAACTGTCCAGGTTTCCAAACTATTGACAGCTACTTTTGGTAATCCAATTACCATTCCTTGGCTTTGAACCATGGGTACAGATTACAAGATTATTGAAAAATGAGAAAAACAGTACACTAATTTTAAATTGGGTTCGTTTATTGTTTGAACTTATTTTGTCTGATTATGAAACAAATGAAAAACAAAGTACCGTTTGTGTGAAGCGTTTTCTAGGCGAGATTTTTAATAAAAAAAACATTTAAGTTCTTTTTTCTAGTTTAGACCTCATCTGGTTGCAGGCCTCTGCCTGTTACTTAACTTCAGGTCTAAATTTTCCTTTAACTGGTGCGACAACCGGAAAGTAGATTTTCGTAACAGCATTGTACTCTCTTCTTGGAGAAGAAGATTTTAGAAAAAACCAAGGGCTTAAAATCATTTTACAAAAAAAAATAAAAAATTGTTTGGACCTTAAAAGCCATGAAGACTCCCAAGCATAAGGGACAGAATAAGTTCTACATGATGAAAAAAATCTAAGTAATGGGTAATAGAAGGCCTTGTCCACAGGAGCACATTAGTGCTACGAGCTTGGGAGCTCAAGGAACAAGTAATAGTTGAGTTATACTAAGTTCGAGAAACAAGTTATGGTTGAGTTATAAGAAGTTCCTGTAACAGGTTTGCCCGAAGTTCCATGAGCCGCACACGTGTGAACATGGCCGAAAAATTGAAAAAATGCAATCATCTGGAGAGGAGATGACCTTAGGGTACCGAGATGAGGTCATCCAGAGAGTTATTTTCGTCTCGTTGAGTGGAAAAATCAGAATTTGAACTTAAAGGAGAAATCTCTGCAGTATGATGATTAATTAACTGTGATCAGCTTACTAAACAGGTGTCAATAAGAAGAGCAATATTGCCGTGTAATTAAATAGGGTGTCTACGGCAGAAAAAATTCTTCCACCTTCTCGGGTTTTCTCTTTCCAAAATAATCTTTCCCTGACTCCTGACTTAGAAAATTTGTCACATAGAACTGAAAATGAAAAATTTTTGGCATTCACAATACTGCAAATGACAAAAATAAGTGAACCTTTTTTCTTTAGGTATTAATTAATTGATATTGACTAAAACTGGAATGGGTCAACATTTTTTTTAAACTTCAATTTCTGGTAGTATGGAGTAAGCTAAGCTACTAGGAATTTTTCCGAATTTTTTCAACTCTAAATGGCGAGGAACCCTTGTTGTGAAAATGCTGAAAATGGGAACGGTTTGAAACTATATTTTTGACAATGCAGCCAGATAAGGGAAATGGCATTTGCTGATTAACTGAACTCAGCTTCACACTTTGCCTTGCTGCGTCAACTCAAAAATCAGCTTTTGATTGGTTTTTTCTAGTCTTTTACATTATATTCCCTGACTCATCCCTGATTTTCTCGACTGGATGAAATTCCCTAACAATTCCTGGTTTCTCAGACCTGTAGACACCCTGTCCAGCAATTTTAAGCCCCAAACAAAGGAGTTTAAACCTAAACCTTTTCTTCTACACTGCAATTTTGAATTCGTCATTACTCTTGCTTGGTGGCAAATCTTGGGTGCTTTTCTGTGTCAATATGTTCACAAAACACTCTAAAAACAAACAAAATAAACAAATCGGAAAATCTTAATTTTGAATTTCGCATGACAGGAGCCACTTATGAGGAAATATTCACGATTTAATGAACCTAGTAGATAAATTAAGGAGGTAAGTTTAAACTTAAGTATTGCCAAGTGGAATTGCTCATTAGATTAAATTTTCATTTTAGAGAGATACTAAATTCATCGATATTGGTTGAAGTTCCAATGATGTATCATTCGCCACATGGTATTTTCCTCCAGCTATTTCTTTGAGAGCAGCTCCTTATTCTGATGAAAAATCAAACTTTTCAAAATTCTAAAACCTTCTTAGTTTCCAGAAGCTGAATAAAGGGCTAGAAAACCTTCTGTGCTATTGATAGAAACTGGGCTCTTTTGTAATTTCTTGATTATACAGGGTGATCCAAAAATCCCACACTACCTGCTCTGGGTATCACCCCTACAACTTTTGAACAAATTGAGATGGAGACTTGAAATTTTGCGAATGCTTCTAAGTCGAAGGAAACGACTTTTGGGATCCCCAAAAATTTTAGAGGACTTTTCTGAAGAGGAGCAAGGTCCCTAGAGATTATATGTGGACTTTTGGATCACCCTGTGAATCACACAGGAACTTCAAGTAAAGTAAATACAAAACTAATATTTCCAAAGAGATCATGAAACCTTACAGACTTAAATCACAAATGTGCGATGAAGTATTGATTACTAAACTTAAACAAAAGCCCAAAATGTGGCACAAATAAAAAGCACACAAAAAATGGGTAAGCAAGGATATGAAATTCAGATGTTTTAAAGGCCAAAAACTTTAAAAGTTTGAACTTTTTAGCCTTGTTCAACCTTTTTGTATGCGTTTTTTATCCTTACTAAACTTATATGTAGGTAGTGCATTCTTGTCACTTCATAAGTTTATGACTAACTTAATTTGTATATTATATTCTATTACATACATAATTACATCTATATTTTGAGAAAAAATTGATAGTAAAACTCCAAAAACATTATTTACACTTATGACATAGTAGACTTCCAACAGAAACTACACTGCCAACAAATCTTCATTCTTGAAGGGTGACCAATTATTGTTACTGCACAAAATTTTGAATTATTTTTTTTGTGTGCTTTCTTCTACACTCTCCTCAGAGTTTTTCATGCCAAAGTATTGCAGAATATTGCTTCAAGAAATAAAATATAAGCTGAAATTTTGACAGCTTCAATAAAAGTGTAAGTTTTCCTAGTTTCACTATCAATGTATGAGATGCGACCAGTAAAACCTGTCCTGAACTTTCTGTGATAATTTTTTTTTTTAAAAAAAGAACAAATAATTAATCGATTGAAACCTGCCATTTTTAATGCCAAAGACTCTTTCATGCATCTCAAGTTAATAAAAAATGGATACATGCGCACTATTTGCAGTTTGGGACAGTATCTTTATTCTTTTCCTTAACCTAAAGTGAATTTAAAAATATAGCCATCTTAAGTAAAGTGCAAATCAAAGTGTATAATCCACCGTTTGGGAAAATGCACAAAACAATTGAGTACACGTTTTGCTATGCTCTTGATTGCCACTTTCTTGAAACTGAAGTCCATTCATTTAAACTTTGAAGCATAGCAGAGTAGTCAATCTTTTAAAATCTTGACGTAGAATTGACTTGTTAAAAAAATATTGCTACACAATTCAAATGAACCAAGTCAAAGTGAGGGGACCTGACCGACATGTTGGAGGAGAGCAATCACAGAACAGTTCTGATCTTAGCTATACTCGCCGGCAACTAATCGGGACAAAAATTCGAGATTAAAACCAGCAAACAGCAATTGTGCTAACCCAAACCAAGGTCTGGCGCCACCCCAGAATGACACCTGTAACGGGCGCACTGATATGAACAATCGAAGACACTACGGCTTGCGATTTCTCATGGACACATATACATACCTGCATTTTTGCAATTTTTAAATCGGCAAAAATTTGGTGCCTCCACTTGAATTCGTGCTCTGCTCAAAATTTTGATGAGACTTGGTCCAACATTCATGCTGATATCCTAATATGCCACCTTTTTATGCACTCTATTAAATTTATGTAAGATGTGGATGAGGACATGGGCAGCATGCGTAAAAAGGTGTAACATTGAGATATCAGCAAGACCTTTGGACCAAGTCTCATCAAAATTATGAGCTGAGGCTGAATCTTCGATTGGAGCAGAACATTTTCACTGATTTAAAATTTGTAAAAGTGCACTGGGGCTAAAGGTATGTACAATTGTACATATACATTCAGAAGATGTCATGAGTTCTCATGTCTTCTATCAACACTCGTGTCCGCAACTATGTGGCCGTGTATCTCAAAGTTGCTGAATTTTTTAATAAATCAAAAACCTAAATTGCAGGAAGGCAAAAAAAAAAAAAAAAAATGTGGCCATGATGGGTGTCATTCAAGAGTGGAGCCAGGCCTCTGTTTGGGTAGGCTCGATTGCCTTTTACAGGTTTTAATCTCGAATTCTTTGCTCTGATTGGTTGTCAAGTTGTACAGAAGGTAGTAATTTTTTCTGTTAAAAATGAGCAAAAAAAAAAAATTGAATTGTAAGAATGAAACAAAACCCTCCTTTCCAACGCCAGGTCTCAAGAAGAAATAAAGGTTCGAACCTCTTCTCCTCGATCTGATGCGCGTTGGTTTCCTCACTACAAGTTCAGGGCAGTTTGAACAGATTGCATCACAGTACATGAACACCGAAATTCAAATGTACAACAAACAGTCATAAGATATTTTCAAAACAGAACAGCCGGCACACATTTAATACAAAACTAAAAACCATAAAACAAAAATAAAATAGTAGCATGTCACAAGGAATTCAAAAGAAGACCAAACTAAAATCTTGATGATTTAGACAATGATTATGATGCTTAAAGGTATAGACTAGAGTCTTACAAAGAGGTCTTGCTAGTTGATTAGAAACTGAATTGGATGTATTTCTATCAAACGGAACTATGTGCATTAAGACATGAGCCCTGAGACCCTTAAGAATACACGCGTAGCAGGGCTCACGTCATGATGCACATAGTTCTGTTTGATAGAAATATGTCCAATTATGACTCTCAAAGTTTCTGACACAAGATCAAGAAAAAATAAATTATGACTGCCGGATTTGTGCTCTTTTTTTTTTACAAACAATGTTAATGGTAGGAAAACAAAGGAAAACTTTCGCACAAGTGCGAAAAGTATTTGACCAATATACAAATTTGTGCTTTTCTCAACAAATAGTAAAAGAAGTATCCAATTTGTTTACAAAAGATTTCCATTAAGTCCAACTGCAGGGGCTCTAAACTTAATTAGACTTACTCCAGAGACTTGAAAGCTTTGTTTTTCATTAAAATTCAGTTCAATGGCTAGTGTAAAAAAATAGGAATTTCAAATTGCGAAGTTGTAAGTCTCCACTCATGTTGCATTCTTTTACAGGAAAACAGCAGAAAATTTATAATGAAATTTTTGGTGAATTTTCTTCACTCATTCTAGAAAATCTGCATGAAGTTGCAAGGAAGCATCTGAATTAGTTTTCATTATGAATAATAAAACACAATCTAAGATTTTTAAACGCTGCGATTGAGATATGCATTTTTTGCATTTATCCATTGATTTGAAGCTCCTATATAACCTCTAATTTTTATTATTGGCAGTATTTCCTGATCCATTTTTCAAAAATCAAAACTAATTGTCCTAACGGAGTAAAAATTGTATCCAAAATTGCTTTGCTACTTGAAAAAATCAAACTAAAGTTCCGTGCAGATTAGTTGCTTGGTTCCCTTCATAAAATGAACTCTATGTTCATGGCAGCTGTACAGGACTCATTAAGGAGTTCTTAAAGAAAACATAAATATTTTCCCTAGCTTGGAAAAAAAATTTCAGGTTTCACAGAGATATTTCAGAAGTCTTAGGGAATGCCTGAAATAAATTAATATTTCCTTTTCTTTCTGCAACCTACTTAAAAGGGCAAACGTACGATGAACGGACATTTCTTTTCGATATTTTAGAGGTCTCTATCACAAAAAAAAAAAAAATTGCTCTTTTGAAACAGTCATAAACATACCCAATGACTAGATGATGTAAAATCTGAGAACAATCAAGTGCGTACATCGAAAGCCCTTAAATTCAAGGACTTTAGAATTTTAAAAAAAATTGTTCTATTAAAAAAAATTTAAAAAGGATCCTCCTTTGTACTAGGTTACAGGGAGGGTATGGAAATACCAGCCTTGTGCCCTGAATTTTAAAATTAAAAAAATGATAATAATAATTTAAAGACTAAGCAATTGAAGATAGACCTCTACTTAATGTATTCAAAAACTTTCCGAGGCACCCTTAATTCGAAAACTGAGAGGAAATACTGAAACGTCACGACGGCCCTTTGACGCTTCTCTCAGCTAAAAGTATTTAAATTCTGACTGTCTGGTCCGCATGTCTTCATGAAAAATTCTTGCTCATCTAGAACAAACTGTTGCCATTTTTTTTTTTGCATATTCTTCTCCTGAGAAAATATTCAGTCAAAGCAAGAATCTTGGAAAATAATTGAAAATTCTGATTTTTGATTGGTGATTTCTCTTGATCTTAGAGAGAGTTTATCTCAGTTACAATTTTGATAGTTAAAAAGGAATACATCAATTAGATACCTACCACAATCTCGTAGAATTGACTGCCTATCATCCATAGAGAAAAATATTCCTGTTCTCTTGAATTTCAACATTTGAATGCTGCCTAACATGAACAAATGTGAGAGATATGGAAAAAATAGGATTCATTCTCAAACTAGAGCAGTCATGAAAGGAGAACTATACGTTGACCGAGAAGAGAAATTGCAAAAGTAGCTCTTGACATAATGGTAACAATCATCTCTAAAATTGGTAACATGAAAAAAGAAAATTATAAACGCATAAGGCACTTATCTCATTTTTAACGATAGGAATCTTTTCACAGGGTTCATGAAAAACCTCTCCTTCAACAGGTAGGGAGGAAGACTTCTCCTGCGGCTGATGTTGACGAGAGATGAATAAGATTGGCCTCTACGATTTACAGTAAACGAGGTTTACTGTCTGAAGAAAACTCCCATAACTTTGCAAGAGAATCCAGCAAAGGTCCATTTATTTGAGTCTCAAAAGCGATTTCCAGAGGTTGTTGACTTTGGATTTTTCATCGAGAAAGCCTTTGACTAGGATAACCTAAAAACAATTAAACAAAACAATGAAGGTACAAGGCAAAATGTTGGCCTTCTAATAAAGAAAAAACTACTCGTGCTTCCTCAAGCATTACTGCCACTTCAATCGCAAAATGCAGAAAGGACACTATTGCGGGAAGGACAATTTTTCCAGAAAAACATGCAAGTGATCAATATGGAGCACGATGACTGTTTTTTTTCTCCTGGTATTTTAGTGTGTACCAATTAAATGAACGTTTTCCTCGAAAGTATTCTCTAAAATTGTCATTTGGTTTGAAATAATGAGCATTTAAACGTCAGGAAATAGTGCCCTTTCAGTGATACATATGATGTTTTGAGGGAGAGGAACTGATGGAAAGTGGTTACATTCAGCTATGAAACTTATGTTTATTCTATTCACTTGTTAAAGCATCAGAATGCCATCGAAGCATTTGTGTTTTGAAGTAACTGATTTTAAAGATATTACAATTATATTAGGCTTACCATGGGTAGAAAGTTTAGAAGACAAAAAAGCTCAACTTGCACCTGCCATTTGATTCACATCAAAAAGTTAGGTAGACCCCCTCCCCTGCCCTCCACATATAAACTGCCAGAGGCTCTTATCCCCTCTTATTCTAATTTTTTATTCCTCGCCTGCCTTTTTCTGGCCTCTGAATATCAATTGTGCCCTTTTGAAAATATTGAATTTACTTTATACTTCCACGTTTTACATATAAATATTACTAACACGTAATGCTTACATGTACAAAAAAAAAAGGTAAACTCTGGTGAGCAATAAAATATAATCCAAAGCTAAGGTTAAAATGTTTTTCAACTGGAGGTTCCTTTCAGTCTGTCACATCGGGCAGGTAATATTTTTTGGTCCCTACACTCGGCAGCAGGGAGCTCCAGCAAGGAGAATTCATGGGGGTTCCTAAGATGTGATCGAGGGTTTGCCCTTGCTAGGCAACAAAAACGCTATTTTCAAACAGCAAGCTAGGTGCATTTTTGCTCAATGCAGTTTGCAATAGCAGCGGGCCTCCGACAAGCAAAAGAGTCAAAACAGGAGATGTCTAAAATTGTTTTCTATGACATTCACGCGTGGTGACAGAAACGCCCGGTTTGGACTGCATGCCAGATATATTTTGCTTTAAGCGGTTTGCTTCAACAGTAGCTAACCTCTCTGAGAGATTTGATCCAGGGGGTTCCCAAAACTGTTCTCAATAGTTATCATGCGCTTGTGAAATATGGAAAGCAAAGCCATGACTAAGGCTTGCTTACCTCTAACATCCTCCTCTTGGGATCACCCTCTAACATCTCTTATTTTTGAAATTATGGTTCTTTACCAGGATTAGTAATGTGCATTAACAAATAAGTAGATAGGTAAAAAAGCTCTTAGAATGACCGATAAAATAATTCAACGGCATAAGTTTGCAATCACATATCTCATTTGCGGTGTCTGAAAATCTCCGCCGCTATGTTATTTTTTTAAAGGAGAACAAATTGACATCATTCCTTGAAGTTTTTGCAAAGTTTTTTTCGCACAGAGAAGAAAAATCATGGCAGTTTTATAGAATTGGCATTGAATAGTTTTCCGTTTAAAAAATAAAGTATGACAGGAAGTCTGCGGTGTTGCAAACAGAGTTATGTGATTGCCGACTTACACTGTCGAATTATTGTATGCATAATTGGTCAAGCAGGTTAGATGAGGCATTATAATATGGATCCATGGTTTTTTTTGGCTTGCTGCTTATGTATATGTATATTTTATTTTCTGATAATAGGAATTCTCCCTGTTAGAAATTTAATAAATAAACGAACAGTAAGTACGCATGCCCTTCTGCTTAGTGATGTATTCTGCTGTGCTAAGGAAGAATGCTGTATAAACTTTCGTACGCTGTCAAATTTCCTTTGATAAGACACGAATTATAAGGAGAACTTGTGAATATTTTCCGTCCAATTTTTCAGATAATTTTGTCCACAATGTGATCTAAAATGTCAACTAGAAATAATCTTCATTTTTCTAAAAAACAAATGAGAATTTTAAGAAGGGCAATTTGGCAACATTCGAATATCCATTCGGAATTTTTCCTTAGCACAACAGCGTTGTCCTCTGGAAACAAAAAGTGTACAAACCTGACACACTCCAACAAATAACATGACTGTAATCTGGAACAAGGACCAGTTATTGATGCGTGAGAAATTCCTTTCAGCCAAATTTCTGTCCCTAGCCTCTGATGCTCGGAATAATTCTTGAATATGGCGGATTTTGAGCAGATGGGTCTGAATCTGATGTAGCATATCCTGCAAAAATCAAACATCAAATTCATTCATGAAAGATGAGATTCTTTTAATATTTTTGGAGAAATAATAATTTCAGCTTGTAAACGAAGAGAACATTTGAGATGCCCGGTGAACTATAATTTGAAGAAATAGTAGTAGTGGAGAAAGTTCTAAAACAACAACCGTTTGGCAAAAAAGTGTTCTTGTCTCACGGAAATATTTTAGATTTGTCACAAAGCAAAATGCCTGATATTTTGGCAATTTACCCTCTTCCTCGATGAAAGGAATAACTTGCTACACTTTCGTAAAGTACTGAGCAAAAAAGAGTCATCATTTTCTACAATTTTCTCAAGACAAAGGATTTACTTCATGTTTGCCATAATCCTACGATATTCGGGCATTTTCTGCACCCCTGAGATACAAGCAAAGAACGTTACGAGTGATAATGCAGACACTGTGTACTAAGTTTTCCTGACGTCATATTTACATGAGAAGGGGAAAAAGAACTGAAAAATGGAGGAGGGGAGCTCACTTTCCAGAAAAATTCAATAGATCTTCAAAATACAATTAGGATAGGAAGATTCAAAATATTAAACAGAAAACTGTTTTAACAGACGAAATGTGTTTGTTACAACACTAATATATTCTTCAACTCTGTCAAGGAGTTTGGAATAGAAAGAAAAGCTTCACAGACGCATGGTTTGTTTTCACCCTGTTAAAAGTTGTAAAATTTAAGGAATCTCACCGCAATATTGTCAGCCTTAAGGTCGTATTCTTCTTCCGGCGTGAGCTGCAAACTTTCGCCCGACCAATTTTCATGGTAAATTTCAAAGAAAACAGTTTTCCTGTTGAACATGCTGATTGAATTATCCCAGCAGAACTGATGGATGCCTGCCTCCTTCACTGAGAACCTGAAACAAAAAAGACAACGGATTTTGTTACATTTTAAAACAAAGAATTAGACAGCACAGGTTTAGTAAAAAAATTTCACAGGCGAGTTACCAGTTTACAAACCAACATGGTATTTACTACGAATCTGTTGATACATACATTTGAAAATGTCTAATAGCTTAAACCTACTTGGCATTCATTAAAAGTAGTACATTTTACTTTCAATAGTCAGTTTCTAAAGTTATACATGTCAGAATAATTTTCTGTTGAGACCTTTTTTAATCTTATACATTTACACTCTACCCCTTTCCACTTCAAAAAAATCTTACGGTAAATAATTTGCGAGGGGCTTATTGCTTTGCTGATTCTTGATTTTCTGATTCTTTGATGACTCTGTGATTGCTTGAGATCAAGGTAAGTGAAACAAAGGTGTGCTCTTCGGATACAGACCACCCAAAATCGGCAAGTTTTTGTCAGGCTGAGTTTTTTTGGACGGGTTTCTTTTGGTCTTGGCAGGAGGTTTGATAGAGGGTTCTAATTCTACAAAAATTCAATTTTCCTTGCTACACACTTCCACCTGGGAAAATCTTTTGTAAGACCGAAATGGAATCAACGTGACTAAACGTTTGTCGATTTTGGGTACTTAAATAGGGCAGGAGTATACCCTTGTTTCACTTACCTTGGCTTGAAATGCCTTTGATGCAACGCCCACTACTGCTGTTGGTAGCAGCACCAACGTTGCATTTTTCCTGTTTTGAAAAAAAACAAAATGTTTCCTGCAAAATGAACCACTAGACATGGTGCAAATATAAGCATTGTGATATGTGTTTTTCTTGACAAAATTTCATGTAAAATACAATTCGCACGACAAAAATGACTAAAATCAACTCCTAATTACAATATTTACAGTTTTAGTTTACAATCGTAATGGGAAATTTCATACATGATACAAGAAAAGCAGTGGTCGATTTGAAAAAGATTGCACACTACAACAGTTCTGACAGGCTTCATAATTGAATAATGTTCCTTCGCGCCATGTGTTGTTCAAAGTGTTAGCAGTGCGCAACAACTGAGCAACATCCAGATTGCGGTTGCTACATTTTCATAGCGTAGTGACCGTTACGGTAACGTAGAGTGCGTGACTGAATTCATGTAACCTTTTGTTCTTTCACAAACGGAAGGCTTGAATTTACGCATCGAAAAATGTTAAACGTCTTGAATAGGAGTTAATATTGGTGATTGTCGTTGCACAAATTGTGTTCTGAGATTTTGACAGGGAATCATGAATGAGAATGCTTAAATTTTCATCTTATTTAATGGTTTATTTCATGCAAAAGTGTACAGAAATTCACTCTGGACATGTGCAGTAGAAGCTGAAATTTCGAAATACTGCAAGCAACACTGCCAGAGGTTCATAATTTATGTTAACATGCCATTAGCCGAGTGAATAGTGGCCAGGATTGGTCGAAATCAGTTGTCCTCCTATCCTTTGACAGGAAAGGAGGTAATCCTCATATTGAAGAGCCATACTTACGTATAACTGTTTTCTTCTTGTTTATAGTCATGATGGATTACTTGACCACTAGGTGTTATCAATTTGAAATTGATATCTAGCTCACCTTGACCTCCCTCTAGAACCTGGAATAAAAAAACAATTCACTTATTTCTAAGAATTGTAATCTAGCAAATTACTTAGTCTTGCTCCTGCGGGTCAATTGTTGAATCGTTTTTGAATGAGTTTGATCAATAACTCCCTATATTCACAATGCTGTACGTCGATCAAGGTCATTCAATAACGATTCAACAATCGACTCGTAGGATATGAAAATGAAATTTCATTTTCCATTAAATTTCAACGATTTTTCAGGGGCTGCGATCAGAGGCGGACAGGCAGATGGAAAAAGCCAGATCGGCCAGCAGATTTTGCGGATGATTTGGGACTGTTTTTCCTCCCAGTCACAGCAAAAAACGACTAAAATGGGCCAATTTGTGCAGTGGGGGGCCGATGTTCCCAGCCACCTTCTTGGTCCCTAATTCTGATAACAAAATATAGGAATATGCCACTTTTCGCTCCCATAGGAGGATAATAGCTCTCTGTGCAAAAGCTGCCATCGAGATACCTGCATGTTTACACCTAAAATAAGTAAGCACTCTCTTGATGGCAGTGAAATTCTCCAAATGCAAGTATTCACTTTCCTTTGTTCAACTATACTTACATTAATGAGAGTTATCATTATTATTGAGGGATTACCTTATGATAATTTTTTCAGTTAACTGCAAAAACTTTCTTTTCCATTCGCATAAATAGTCACACAAAGTGTAGCAATTTTTTTGCGACTCAAGAGCCAGCTTGGCACTTGGCTCCGGAAGACGGTCCTTTACAACAAGAACTGTGAGTGTTGTTTAATTCTGCTTAAGATTCATTACCTGGTATTCAAGATCTATATTTTGATTCACTGCAAACTCTTGGAAGAAACACTCTTCTTTACCGGCTTCAACAAAAAAAGTCAGCTTGAAATCGAGAGGTTCATCTACTCCTCCACATAACACAAGATGAAAGCAAATAAGACAAAATAACCTGAGCAAATGAGTATAGGGGGCTACTCCCGATAACATAATGCTAAGGGGACCTTAGAAATCGCACCGCAAAAAAACAACTATTTTTTATAATTAGGGAAAAACGAAGTCCACTGAAATAAGTAGTAAAATATCATAAAAAATTCTGAAACAGAACACCGTGGTTTTTGGAGGTTAGAATTAGTAGCCCGGTTCCGTGCTTCGACGTGATTGGCTAAATTTCATCAAACCGCGAAGGAGTTTTGGTGATAAGCGGTAAATTTGAAGATGATATGGGAGAGGGGGGGAAAACTAAATCATCAGTATTTTTTTTCTCTCAAAAATATGTTCGGCCATTCAACTAGTTAGCAGCGTGTAATATTTATCTGCCTACATGTACTTACTCTCTTTGATGACATGTGATGAAATATCACTTCAAAACCTTGATTCCTAGAATTCGATATTTGCTACCAATCAAATATTTACATAGCTGGTAGGTTGCGACATGAGGATGAGCTCTTGTCTGACTTGAATAATTATCAAGGTACTCACAGTTTTGGAACAGCTGTCCATTATTTATCCATAAAATACTCACTACAGAGAAGCCTTCTTTAATTTTACCTTGAATCCCTACTATTATTCCGGTAAAAGCAATTCACTTCTTAGTTTCAGAAAAAATGCTTGACACTGCTCCTCCTCATGAATGGAATGCATTGTGCAATTTGGACTTACAATATCTGGCTCAGTTTAGAAACGACATATGTACCATTAGTTTCTCTATGCACGTGAGTTTTTTTATGGATGAGCTAGAAATTATAGTTCCTAATTGCAAAATATGCTTTCTTTGCGAGGTTTTTCCCCCTTTTTTAAGACAGCGATTTCAATATTCCTCTTCCAGCAAACTCATTTAACATTTAATTTTATTCTCTTCTCTATCTTTTCTGGTATCTGCTAACTGGTGAATTGTTAACGATTTAAAATATAAAAATGATTGGATTAAGAGGATTCCTTTATGATTGTAAGGCTTTCATTCTTCTTGCATCATAGGAAGAAAGGTTTTGGCTGAAACGATGAATGTTGAGGGGTATGACTGTGACTGACATATCAACAGTGAAACTTCCAAACCACGTATCTTGATTTGCAACATTGCAGGCTTCCTATCATACTGTGTTTTTTAAAGGAAGAACTACTTAACGTTAATTCTTGAAAACTTCCGTAATTTTTCTTCTCTAGGCAAAGAAAATTTTATAAAAATTTCGATCATAGGTAAGGCTGATTTCTTTTCCTTTAAAAAAATGAAATAGGAGCGGAGATTTTAAAACACTGTTATGGTACACCCTTGGAGTTTCACCCTTGATATGCTTTTGATATTTAGAAGGCTCATCTTGATCCCTCTTGGTTCTTTTCGATCGAATTAAGGTAATCCAAACAAGGGGTTTAGGAAGAGGAGTTGTAAATAGAACTCATTTAGGAGACGGAACTAACCTGATCACAGTTTTCTCCAAATTTTACAACTTCTTTGCTTTCAAAAATACTAAACATAAGCACAGAAATTAAACCAACCTGATCTTCTCCCTTTGGAATTATCAATTTCTCAGTGGAAAAACGAAAATTATTTACTATTCAAGGCATTTTCAGATACAGATGAAGATCCCTGGTGGCACATGATATAAAATTTACGAAACAAAACCTCATAGAAAAACTCGTAAAAAAAGTAGGAGTCTAGACAAAACAAACATGCCAATTTACTAGTTTTTACAAGAAAAATGTGTACAAGTACTAATTGCCTCTCTTCGTCCCTTTGATCAGATATTTTTCGGGTAAAATAATTTAACTCTCACCTATAAACGGCTTATTTACAAGCTTTTTTGCATATAAATTTCAAACTCCAAAGAAAAACCAGTTTTACATTTTTTTTTTTCGGAGTTATGTGAGCTACATAGGGATGCACAATTTTTACTACACTTTGATTGCGTTGGTTCCCTTCTGCTTATTGCAATCCACAAGTGATGCAAAGTTATTTTTTAAATATTTCTTGCTATTATCAACAAGGAACAGCCTCAACTTTTGCATGTTCATTCGCAAAAGAAAAATTGCAATGCATTTAGCAACCAATGTGCTCCAACCGGTTTTACAACTTCAACTGGTATTAAAAGAGGTTCGTAGAGGAAAGATTAGTCAACATACTTAATTAGAACAAATAGTTTATTCTGACAACATAGTGATGGTCTCTCCTCCACTTAAAGAGAGCCCATTAGCTCAGAAGTCATAGCGATGGGAAACATTCACACAAGGACATAAAAAAGACTACATGCTTCACGGTAAGGGACAATTAAAAAAAAATAAAATAAAAAAAGCTACTGCATTAACTTGGTACAAAAATAGAGTCCTTCATTCATTTTAAATACTCGAAAAACGGCGCAACATTCCATGTTGTGACGACATTCCGTCCTCTTCCCAAAGCAAGTATCACAAGCGATAATAATAAAGCGTGAATCTCAACAAGACTAAACTACATACAATGAAAGTAGACAAAATTTGAATATTTGTTGCCACCATACAGACTGAAACCTAAAATGCGACTTATGCCTTCAAGTTTCTTCCAAATCCTTTTTATCACGAATAAGAGAGAAAAGTTCAGACAATGATTGAATTCTCCTTCAAAGATACTTCCTGTAAGAGTTTCCGTGGCGCATATGAATGCCCTTACTTTTTTTTGCAGGTTCAAGTAGGGCATTAGAGAAAAAAGGTTTTTCAGGATTGTGTGCGAGACTTGCAATTTTCAACTACTGAATCATTACATGAAAACATAGGACTTGAAGTGCACAATTTCTTAAGAACTTCTTTTTTCATTAATGGTACCTGTGAGACTATGCTTAGAAAGAGGAAAGTTCTCTTCTTGAAAATGAAAGAGATATCGATGGCCAAAGTGCGAAACCACGTACCTCTTCTTGCGACGTTCAAACTTCCTGTCATACTTTATTTTTTCTTCAAAGAACTAGTCAGAATATTTCCTTGAAAACTTCCTTGATTTTTCTTCTCTGTAAGCAGAATATTGTGTATAAATTTCAAGCTAAACAGTCGGGTTTTTTCTCTTTGAAATATATAATAAGGAATTATTGAATTATATATATAATATATAAATAAAAATATATAATAGGAGCAGAAATTTTGAAACATTGTAATGATGATAACGAGATACTTAATTTTGCACTCAGGCCATTGATGTAAGACCTTGCCTCCATCAGATATTTTCAAACGGTTAAGGTGCATTATCCTAAGTACCTGTTCGGAAACAAAGGTGTCAGATGCTCAATGGTTTGCATCATTTGACTTCATTAGAATTTTCCGATGACTTAAAAATTTACGCATTAATACCTGTCTAATTAACCAAACGGTTGACAATCTTCAGAGGAAATTAGGCGTGCTGAATTGCATTTAGTAAATAGAGGCACTGCTTGGTTTCAGGTAAGCTCAACAACACACCTCTAATTGCTACAACAAATTACACAAACAGACTTAATTTTGAATATTTTGGCCCACGAATGAGGCAAAATCGATACAAAAGTAAGCTATAAGCTACCTGATACATCATCGTAGCACTGACTTTTAAAAAAAAGTTAAATAACTTGTGCAATTCAAACAGGAAATTCTTTAAAAAAAATGCCGTTAAAATATCCAAGTCAGGAAATGTTTTGGGTTAAAATTCTTGCCAAATACCTAAGTTTGCACACTTACAGAGTGCGCAGAAGATCCGCCATAATGATTCTTGCATTTACATCCAACTCTAATATGGAGCAACTGATTTTCCATTCCACTCTGAATGAGCGTAAAAATTGGTGTGGACCATACTTTTCTAACATAAAAATGTCAACTTTACTCATACAAGTTTTTCGTTAGTTAATGTCCGTAAATATTAATAAAAATTTTTACGTGATGTCTTAGTTTTTATGTCAAATATTTTATGTTTGGCATCAAAAAGAGTGATTTTTATAATCTAACAAAATGAAATTGCCAATTTTTTTTTTGTAATTCTTTTTTGACATATATTTCACATTAAGGAGGAGAATCGATAACGGCAGTTTTTTGGCATACACTATCTAAACTTCCTCAACTCTACGATTTTTTGCTTGCTTTACTTTTTTTTAAAATCAAAATTTGACAGTCAACACAATGCCCTTTAATTCTCTACAAGACTTCATAATCTGCGAATTTGTTTGAGTGATTTGCTGCAGGAACTAATGTGTAAAAATGTCTGAGAGTTTGTGTATAAAACAGCAAACGTATATCAATGAGAAAATATTCTTACGGAGTTGCAAACCTTAACCAGTTCTAATGACCCATCCACTTAAAACACTGCGTTCAAGAAAGAAAGAAAAAAAAATACATGAAAAAATTAAAATTAAAAACATGTGTGTTTGTTTGACTTGAGAAACCTAAAAGAAGCTTCAATAAGAAATGGCTGCTTTCCCGGGATAATGACAAAATAACTCCTTTGGAGTTTCTTTCATAAAGCTTTAAACTTTGAAAGAGAAAACAGGATTGTTGACACTATATATGTCGAATCTAAAGTATCAGAGACATGTCACTAATGAAATTGCAGCAATGCGTGTCTCAGTTCAGGGTGTAGCAGACTTCTTGACATACTTTCTTTTCTACATCGGAAACTACTAAACAACATTTCTTGAAAACGTTTGTTATTTTTCTTCTCTGTGTAAAAAATTTTCGTAAAAAGTCGAGCCATGATGTTTGTTCAATCTCCTTTTTCAAGATACAATAGAAGCGGAGATTTTGAAACACCACGACCAAGATACACATTTTTGCAGTTTCATCGTCAATATGCAACTTTAGAAAATTAAGTGTGCTCTCTGAATTTGTTCTGAGGTCTTGCTGAATTTTAACTGATATTTTTCACTGAACTATGCAGAATTGTAGGAATGAATGGAGCTCTGCTCTGGTATGCCTCCAGGATTTACCATTCAAGTACTCTCCCGTGATAAAAATTTTGCGAAGGACACAATGGTGCTACTGATTTTCTCTGAGACGGACTTTCAAGTACAAAAAAAACTCTCAAAGTTGAGGTCACAATAAGGGGACCCCCCTGCTATGATGGAAGTCCACCTTAAAATCTAGTTAAACTCTCAATGCACAGATAGAGGACAAAGACATTGGCGGGTTGCCGTTGTTCAGAGGTCAGCCTTAGAGTCCCAAAATAAAGTGGCAACCTTGCTAATGTATTTGTTCCCTATCTGTGCATAGAAAGTTTGACTGGATATAGAGGTGAACTCCCAGCATTGGGTGTAAGGGGTGTCTCCTCCGATGCGACCTCAACTTCGAGAGCTTTTTTTGCACTTTTCATTTCAGAGAAAATCAGTGGCATCATTGCGTTCCTCGCGAAATTTTAAAAAAGGCAAAGTACTTGAATCGCAAATCCCGGAGGCATGTAAGAGCTCCATTATGCATTCCTTACAATGGGAGAGAGGTCTTGTTTGCAGTATCAGGGCAAAGAAAATTCAGACTTATGTTTTTCCCGCAGTAAATGCACCATGATAAATATCCGTAATTTTTCGAGGAGAAGGATTCTTAACCGTATTTTTACTTAAGCTGCGGCAAATGATGGTGCAGCGAGAGGGGTTTCAGTTATCTCTCTTGTGAACTCACTTTGACTGGGAATTTTGCCGGGAAAAAATTAGTATTTCACAATGTTTGATGTTTGTTTTTAACCTCCTTAAAGACACAAAACACAAATTTAACATTCCTTTCTGACCAAGTTACACACTAAAGTAATTTCACGAGCACTCCTCCTCTATGTCATACAAGACAAGAACATCGCAATAGAGAGAAAATTACTTGGCTTAACTTTAAAGATAAAAAACTTAAACTCCCCACGTACATGGTTAAAATTACTTGGTTCTTAAGAGACAGTCATGCGTACATTAACATAAGGTAGAAAGAAAGTGATAGGGGACTTATATACAATAGAATCAGGATTGCACAAGACATTAAAAATCAAATAATTAAAAAATTACAACAAAAGAAGAGATGCTATCAAACAAAACAGAAATATGTAAATCAGCCGACTGTTAGACCTTGGACTGGTACTGCAGAGGAATAGCTTTCGATTGAAGAATCAAGAGATAATTCCTAAAATTTAATATGATTACCTATTTAATTTATTACATGATGGTGATTAAGAAAAAGGGGGTGGCACTACTTGAGGAATTCATCGTACCAAGCTGAAATAATGCCAAAGTTTTGGACTCCAGCCAATGCTGATAAAGTTTAAAACATTATGTATGCTTTTTTAAACAAGACAAAAATGAACATTACTGAATTTAATCATTTTAATGCATGAGGACCAAAATTTTGAGCACACTCTTCAACAACTTGAACAAATTGTATTGCTCAAAATAAAAAAGGGAAATTTTTTATTTTTATGATAAAAAGCAGAATGTGAAATAGGGAACTTTATATACTTCCTGACAATGATCTGACAACACCTATGGACAAGATGTAAGAGCATTTGAATAAAAGAAAAAGTTACTTGCAAAATATCTACAAGCAGTCGATATTAGTTGAAAAAAAAAAAAAACCGAGTCAAACTGTCAAAAAAATAATTCAGCTGTGATACGATAAATTCACTTAAGTAATTCTTTTGCCGTTAATGTATAAAACTCTTCTAAATAGGTTCAAATTTACAGTTGAGTGTCTACATTCGAAAAGAAGATAGAAAAAATAGGTGTAATAAAAACTCTGAGCAAGTGCCAACTTCACAAACTTCGCTGTTTAGTGACTGGAAAAACGGACAATTGGTAGACTGAATTGGAAGAACAGAGACAGAAAAGCTGCCTTTATTCCTTTTCGGAATAATAATAAAATTAAAAACAAAATAAAACAGAAAGAGACAATTAAAATGAAACAGCACTTTCCATCACAGATAACTTGACCAGGATTAGAGTAAAATAGTTAATGATAAAATATCCTCGACGCCACTCTTGGTGGGACTAGCAAACAGGAAAAGACGCAAAATTCCCTGGACTAAATAGGACCATTTTACTTGAACATTGAGAGGACAACAAAGATAAAGTTTCTTAATTGGGGGGAAAATAAAAAAAAAAAAATCAGAAAGTTCAATAATTTTTATAATCTACTCTAAATAATTAACTAGATATTTTGAAAAATGGACAAAAAATTATTTAAAGCAGCAACTGAAGAGGTATTGCTTCAGAAACATACCTTTCCAAAGTAGGTACGTTTTTTCGGATGCAAACAAGTTAGATGCAAGTTGGATGCAAGTCCAATTTTAGGAAAACAGTTTCCCTCCAGAATTTTTTGCTGCATGAACTAAGGAAAGCCATTTTTTTCGTAAAAAAAGAGAGAAAAAACTAGCTTTATCAAAGTAGTTCAATCCTCACAAGAAAAAATCAACAGCGCAAATTGTACATCTTGTAGAGAAACGAAATTAAAATTCCAAAAATTGCCCTCCTTAAAATTTACACTAATTCACACCTCATCCTGTTTGATAGTCCCGATTTTGTATCAATAAAAATAGTTTAGTCGAGGCGATTTGGAGTGTTTAAAACGGACACTAAAAAACTCCAGCTATGATCTGGCCTAGTCGACTTTGGAATGGGACTGATCGGTTGATGTACTTGACTCCCCGCTTGGAGATGTGGCTGCTTGGCGATCTAAATACTTTTTCCTCGCTGCCAGCAGCAGCTTTTCCTTGCGTAATTGTAAGATTAATTCCCTTTCACTGGGAGATTTTGAGAAACGGCTCCCTGTTGTGAGCGGTTCACTTGGTTCTATACTCACATCCGAGCTGAAACAGAAATTTTATTGAAAGAATTCAGATTGAAAATTTTTGAACATGTTATTCTCGGACTTTGAATGACAAGTTAACTCATCATGGCTGTTCTATGATAAATTGAGAATAAAAAAATATCTGATTATGGGACCTGGCAGCGTTGATTTTGTCAGTTCCGTCCTTTTTTGACAGAGGGCGTCACTCATCCTTACTTGTAATATAATTAAAACCAACCCAACTGTGTGCTGATTGGGTTTTACTGTGTACTCTATTACTTCATCTGACAACATTAATTCTGTGATTTTGCATTTTTTTTTATTTTGACAGTTGGATAAATAACCGCAGTAAAAGCTTCAAACAGCTTTTCTCAGTTGTTTTCTGACAGAGCGCATTTTAAATATTAAGTATCTCAATTTTTATCATTGTGAGATGAATTTTAGAAAATTTTATCAATATCCAAAATTACCGATTACAGTCAAATCAAATACAGAACGAAAGAACTTACTTCTCTCTATACTCGATCATTTGAAATAATTCAATTTACTGGCAGTTCGCTGAAACTTTTTAAGACGTATAAAATGTATGAGCTGACAGTTTTTCCTTCATTTGGGGGGGAGGGCTTCATAAACAAGTTTTTTGCAGTTATTCCGCAGTTGAACCGGGTAGTTTTGGCTGATTGTGCAATGTACCCCCTAACTACACCTTTCTTTACAAGCTAACTACAAGATTCTTATCTCTGTTTTTTATAGCCAGTGTTCGAAACTCACACGCGCCAAATGCGCCTAAAAAATGATTACTCTGCGCCAACGTGGTCACTAAAAATCGCCCCCCTCCTCCCCTTTGGAAAAAATCCTATTTTCTGGTTGGATAATTTTTTGACAGCTCCTAAGTTACAGCTACTTGTCCTGTAACTAAAACATCTTGCGTCTAACTTTTCACTGAATGCGCCATGACATTTAGGCAAAAAGTCAATTTGGCCCCTAAATAATCTTCCATGGCCCCTAAAAATCGAGCTTGATGAGCCGCATGGCTCCTAAAACTCAAAGATGAGTTTCGAACACTGTTTAATAGCATCTTACAGCTGCAAAAATACAATTCTTAGAGGGTGCTTACCTTGTCGGCGTAAATGATGGAGAGAAAGGCTGCCATGATGATGACGATGATGGAGCCTCTCCAGGCGTACCATTTTCCTCTTCAAAAGAGGGGGAGGGTGGAGGAATTCGCCCATCTAGAATGTTTTCAACTGTCAGTTCAACAGATCTCGTCACATGAAGATCATCTCTGAGAGTAGATAACGGATAGTCTGGAAATAACTGTTGCACCTAAGTTGGAAAAAGACAAACAGTGAAATAAGAGAACATAATTGGATAAGCCAAAAAATTGAATAATAAAATAGAAACAATAGATTTATAAAGAACCATTGTACAGCGAACAAAAGAAGTTTGACGATGGCATTGATTGCCAAAAGGCCTTAGGTTAAAATGTAAGTTTTTCAAAATTAAAATTGCTTTGTTCGCAGCATGATATTCTTTATTAGTTTATTTATTCTATTTGATTGAATAGTGAAATAACCAAATAGTAAGGGATGTGGACGTTGCGTTCACTCCCAGTCTTCATTTCCAGAGTGAAGATAGTTGCCTTTTGATTTTTAAGAGACATGCTAATTTCCCTGAGCAATTTAAAGAATGGAGCCTCTAATTTAAAACAGTAAACATTGACAGTACATTTACCAACAGTATGACAGGCGATATGGTAAGCTTCCGAAATCATGACCGTTTGTTGGAATGTTGTAACTTCCCTTTGAATTATTATTTAAGACGAAAATATGAAGAATGAGCGTTCTTGACTTCCTCATTGGAGTTCAGGAGAAGTTGTAAAATTTTAGGATTTTTCAGGGATTTTTGGAAACGCTTCTCTCCCACTTATTTTGAGTTAAACATAGCAGACCTTTACATCTGATTTTGAGACCCATAGCATATGATACATGATGTTCTCTTTACATACTCTTTGGACTCTTTGCATGGTGTATAGAAAGTGCAGGAATTTCAGTTTTATGTTTACAAGTTTGTCAAATGCTCAAACCTCCTACCTGTCTTGCCATTGAGTCAATCTGAGAAGATGAATCTGATTGCATTGAGTCCAACCGCAGTAACTGGGGTGGATGAGTAACTTCTACTGAGAAACTTGGCAACCATGAACCGTATCGAGAGCCTGAAAATATGTAACATGTAGAAACAATTTGATGGAATATGTAATTTTTACAATGATTTTACTGTGAGTCTAGATGACATGCGCTGATGTTCCATCGACACGCATGCATCATGGATTCATTTTTGTGATGTATAGGAGAAAAACAGAATTCTGATGGCTTAAAGATTCGCGCATTTACATCAAAACACTGAAACTGGACTGCAATTTGTAACTAAAGAGTACTATTTCTGACTTGGTTTAGAAACAACATGCGTTCTATTAGTTTTCCTATGCAGATAGATGCTTCTGTCAATGGGCCAGAAAGGATTGCTCCTAATTACAAAATGATTTTTTGGGCAAATGGTGCATGATAATGAAAAGTCAAAGTTATTGCTGGATTTAACAGCCAAAAGACACAGGAATGCATCTATGGCAGGCATTGAATGCGTAAAAAATTTTCCCCCTGTTTCTAGTAGTGAGATTTTTCCAGTCAAGTAGCAGGATCCCCCACACCAACGTACCACCTTGCAAAATTGAACCATTTATTTTGCTACTGAAAGGACAGGAAAATTCATTCAGTGAGGCGTTTCATCAGACCATGGTGGTTTTAATTTTTAATTTTATTCATTTCCTGATATTTCCTGGATTTTCCCTGATTTCGAAAAAAAAATTCTCTGATGAAAACCCGAGATTTCCGCTCATTTTCTTTGGGATTATCGTCGAGACACAAACCTTTCCCCTGAAAGATTGTGGAAAAAATTAAATTTTTCATCAGTTATCTAATTCATTGAAGTCCTGGTTATACAGGTCACCAATAATTATGCAAATTTCATCTACAAGCAAACAGAGAGGAATTTTCTGATTTTGAGCACCAATATCCTGACAAAATCCCTGATTTTCCTCATATATTTCATTCTCTGAAGAATCCCGGTATTTCTTGGTTCTTCTAATTCCTGGACACCATGGATTAGTATTAGTGCTACGACTGTTGTGAGCTTGGCATTGGTAGTTCACAAACGGATCACACCATTGGACCAGGAAGACCACATTATTAGAAACAGCAGGGAAAAATATACTTGGGATAAGATACATATTATCCTGAGAATTCTTGGCTATTCAAATCGAATTGAATTTTTGCCTCAAAAAAGCACCAATTTTTCGGAAAATCCGAGTTTTCCTCACAAAAGGCAGTTTTTTTAAGAAAATCTCAATTTTTCGGAAAACTGGAGGATGTGGGGGAAAAACCAAGGACTCAAGGCTATAAATTAATTGTAACAATTTTTTTCTGGGCGATTCTAGGTACAGGCTTGCGGAATAAAGGTATGAGCTGCAAAGGGTTACTTCCTATTTATATTTCTCGAAAATAAAAAACAAGTTAAAATAGTACAATCTGAAAGTATTCCGCATCTTGATGCTTTTTTTGTCCGCATGAAAATTTAAAGAAAAATTAAAATCAAAACAAGAATTTACCGTCAAAATGGAAGTAATGGTAAGGACTACGACTTCTCCTTGGAGTATTCAAAGCGTCTCTGGAGAGAACCACCGATGACATGCCTGGGGGAGGACGGATTCCAAGGTACATGCGACATGTTGGACATGATGTGTCTTGCTCCAACCAAGATTGAAGACAGGTGCTGCAGGAGGAGAAAAAATAATGTGTGAGATTATACCTCACTACTACATTAAAGCCAAAACTTGAATTCTTCTGTTTGAAATATGAGTTCATTAAGGGTTCATGTCGTTCTTAATTGTTTTGAATTTAACTTCCGAGAGCTGAAGTACGGATTGAGATACCAGATATGAGAATTTAAGTTTGATGTATCGATCGTTGAAAGATTGTCTTTACACAAAAAAGTCAAAAACCGCCGAGATTTGTGACTTAATTGGACGTATTTCTGCCAAACAGAACTATGTGCATTATGACGTAAACCCTGTTATGCATATATTCTTATGGGTCTCAGGGCTCATGTCTTAATACATGTAGTTCCGTTTGGCAGAAATACGTCAAATTGATAGGATTTACCGCATGCCAGTTTGACCATGCCCAGAGCCCAGGAGAAATTACCTAAAGCTCTATCCTTGCAAAATCATTACTTCCAATTACTGTTAAGCTCTTCACAACTAAAGTAAGTAGGAATATTGCTTTTTGTGAAGCGTACTTTACAACATCTTTACATCATCTTCAACCATTTTTTTCAATTGTCCATTGCTTAATTGTACATATCAGTAATAAAAGAATATACATCAATGCCCAAAGAACAAAACCACATATGTAGAAATCTCTTTTTGCGATGTTGCAGACTTTTAGCCATACTTTACTTTTTCTTTGGAAAACTAGTTGACGGAGTTTCTTGAAAACATCCTTAATTTTTTTCCTTGTTTAACAGAATATTCTGTATAAATTTTATGCTAAGAAGTTGGCTTGTTTTTCTTCGAAAAAATAAAATAAGATCGGAAATTTTGAAAACACTACAATGGAGATTTGTGGTTTTGCACTTTGGCTATTAGCATAAATAATAATCATTGAAACATGGTATTAAGCCAGTGTACTATTTTTCGCTACTCAGTGAACTTCAACCATTAAAAGTAATATGATAACCTGCACAACCGACCCATTACAGTCTTAGCTGGTCTCACAATGAGCAACCGAATCCTTAACTTTGGAGTAAAATCTCCATTCTGGAAGTAAGATGCTATGTACATCCAGAGGACAGACTTACAGCATATAATGGGTATGTAAATTTCACAATTTTCGGTGAAAGAATGACAGACCTGAATAAAGATATCCTCAATATCATCATCTGGCAAATGACCTTGAAGAGAACTGAGGAGTCACTCATGAATTATGAATTCAAACCTGTTAGTGTGTTAGTACTGAGGGGAACCACGAAAATAATATGAGTTTGGGAAAGAAACAAGTCTTTTCATTAGGAATTATAATATCACTCCCAATTGCATATTTAAATTAATGCACTTAAAAATGTACCTGCCTACAACTGTCTCTTTCCTGATGATAATCAATCCACACAGTTACTTACTTTTTGAAGTTGTTCCATTTTGCATGCATTAAAATACTTTTGATTCCATTTTTACTTTCTCCTTTCCTTTCAATAGAGAAAGGATTTTTACTACGCCCAAATGACATTCAGCCTAGCAAGATTGGTGAACTAAGAAAAATGAATTCATATTCAAGTTTTTGATAATGTCCAGTTTAAAATTGAATTCTCATTTTTGATGGTCAGAATCTGAGATTGGTCAGTTTTTATGATGGAATTTTTTGCTCATAAAATTCGCCTACCCTGCCAAATTAATTTTTTTTCTTTCTTAAAATTGGCAATAATGTATGATAACTCTCAATTTCTCAAGATTTTGCAAAGCACTACCATTATGATTCTAATTCGAAGGTGGGTAGCAAATTTTGAAAAATGAGTAAAGTAGGAGGAAAATCTACTTACTTGTGGAAAAGGTGCGAGCATGGTAATTTTCTGGCCGATTCCATTTTCTCCCAGCAAATAGCACAGTTGTCAGAATTTTCAGCCAACTCCTCAATTGTTGCTTCAGGATAACTGCAAAAAAGAAAATGTATGAATGGTCACTTAGGAAGGAGATACATTGCCACAAAATCTTTTATAGATCTCAGGTTCCAAAACGGAGATGATAGGTCTTTAATTAGCAGCGGTCGCATGAGTGAAATGCTACAGCACTTCACCTATCCAGCCGTATTCTAATGAATTATCTTGGTTACCAGTCATTGGGAATATAAAGTTAGCCATTCTAAAAAATTTCCTACTAATTTTAACTACAAGCATGAATTCTAAAAGTTGGGCTTCAGCTTTTTATGTGTCTGGGGACCAATGCTCCAACATCACCGAACACCATTTGTGAAACGGATCTGAGAATTAGGCTGCAACTTTTAAAAAATAAGGGCACTGGAAAAATGTAGCTCCTAAAATTTTGTTCAGTCTTGATTTCTACAGAGTACTTGCTCCATTATCAAAAATTTTATGGGCTCCAAAAAATTTGGGGACGGTGGCTAATAATATGCGTGACAGTCAAGTGGCTTTCAGAATAATGAGATTAAAGTAAGAAACTGTTACAGGCCCGCTTAAAGCCTTCTGATGCACTTGAAGATACAGTTGATGACTGAACACGAACACCACAAACCTCAGTTTGTAATGTTTCAAACTCACTGTCATACTTTATTAATGTAATTCGAACACATATCAATATAATTTCCTAAATATTTTGTGAATTTTTTCTGAAGTCTGAAGAATATTTGATGAGGGTTTCAAACAAAAAACAATGGCTTGTTAAGCTGATGTTAGCTTGTTTCTTGTTTAAAAAAAATTTGAGGCGGAAATTTTGAAAAAGTGGGGTCAAAATACATGGTTTCTGCACTTAACCATTGATTTAAAAATGTATTTCTTTCAAATAAATTAAGAAATTTAGGCGACTTAGAAAATCAAAGGAAATTAAGATACACGGGTCCACTGAATCTTGCAGAGAGAAAATAAAAATATGTACCTCTTCTCCATGTGTGTGATGACCCACCAATAGTTGCGATGTTTCTTAATTCGCCTTTGGATCTGGTAGAATAGGAACTTGATATGAAGGCCGATGACAAGAGACGCCATCGACAGGAAGATATTGCTCCAGACAAGCATGTGCAGGTGATGGAGAAGCTCTAGGATGAGAATTGTCAGGTCACAGATGAGCTCAGCGTAGTACGGCAGATGGCCTCGCGACCAGGAGTTGTTTCCGCGGGAGTTATAAAGATGCAACAAATAGCGCAAGAGTGTATGTTGAACACTCAGAGCCAACAAAAGACACTGGGAATTCAAATTATACATTAGATATAGAAATGACTTGCATTAACAGAGGAAAATTTTTCTCAAACGTCATTTTTTTAAAAATTTAAAATTACAATTTTTTAGGATTAGACTACTTACATTTTGAAAAAGGAGTTTGTATTTTTGGCTTGTTTTGAAAACAACACGTGCACCAATAATTGCCCTATGTAGATAGGTACTTTCATATATGAGTCAGAAATAAAAGTTCCTTTTTGCAAAATGTAGACCAATTCTAGTATCTGAGAGAATAAGTTCCAAAAGGTTCAATTAACTTTGGTGCCAATGAAGAGCATACATTCAGAGCATCATTTTACGATTTTGAACGGCAATCATGGGAGACTAAACCATCAAATTTTTGCCAATGATCTGCTTTGTCAATTTTAACGACAGATTAATTCGTAACTGAGACAAATTTCTTTTGTGGTTCAAGTAATTCATACTCGTAAAAATGCTCTTTCCAACTCACCTCAGCAGCCATGAATGCAAAAGTGTTGAAGCCACCAAAAAATCCTACTCCAATTGCAGCAATCAATAGGACGCCAGAGAGAACTAAGATTGCACCCAACAAGCATAGTAGCCTTATGTGATTCCAAGAGGTTGGAGTGGTTGAAAACAAGTACTGAAACATTCATTTTCAAAATAAAAAATTCTTCTTGCACCTGAGAACAAGTACATGGTAAAACCATACGTCTCTACAAATTTTTAGAAAGGGTTTTGTTTTAAAAAATCTATGATACTGAAAGAAAAGGGAAAAAATTGAATTGAATAAAAATTTAAAGATAGCTATGGACTTCCAGCACTGACTCTTATACCTTGATCTATCTAATTCATGCCCATATATCATCTTGACAAATTAAAACTACGAAACACAGAGAGAGGATATCTTTGAACACATTGATACATTTTCATGAAAGTTAAATTACTTATTTATCGCAGAATGGTCGCCAATTTGATGTTTCATGGAGGCTAATTTACTGCCCAAAATTTATCTACAGCTGTCGAATTCATAGGTCGATCTTTCACAGTATCCAAGAAAAAGGAAAGAGTATTTAGAGCATCATTCTATGTTTACAAGAAAAAAACATCATTCCTGGAAAAAGGATATTTTACAATGAATTTTTTTTCTTGCCGCTTGATTGATTCATTGCTGAATACCTATATCACACTTTGCACATGGAGTTATTAGATGCCTCAGACCAACACATCCCAACGCTGATCATACAACAGAGGGGTATCGTTTTTGGCTTTTTCCAGCCCCACCTGGATTTTGCTGAGTGTTTCATATTTTCAAAGTACTAGTCCTGGGTAGACTCTATGCCAAATATTTTACTGAATGGAGCCCATGTAAAGGTGCAGAAACGCCTCAAACCCAAAATCCTGGCATCGAAAAATAGTTATTTTTGTCGACTTTTTTGACTGTTATCACTCTTCCAGCAGATGATTCCTATTTATTTTTGTGCGTACTTTCCGTTTCTGGCCTTTAAAAAGGACACTGATAAATTTCAAGGGGCCTGACGGTCCATTGTTGCCCTTTTTGGCCCATTTTTAGCGGTTTCTTCAAATTTACACACGAAGAATTCAATTTAAACTATGAACCGTAAGTTTTTGAAAAGAACGCAAAAAAAAAAAGAATAAACAATGTTCAGTGAAACTTTTAGGTGGATGTTCCAAATACTCTTTCCTTTTCCTTGGATACTATGAAAAATATGAAATTGACAGCTGTAGATAAATTTTGGGCAATAAATTAGCCTTCATGAAACATCAAATTGACGACCATTCTGCGATAGGAGTAATTGAACTTGATATTAGGAAGAGAAAATAAACGAATAATTATTATAAAATTAATAAATTATTATCAGAGTAAACTTACATATTCAAACCGATCTTTGCATACTAGAGCTAGCAGCTGAAGAAAACCCAAAATGACAAACCAAGTGTACCATAGTATCACTTCATCCATGTTTTGAACATTTATTACACCGAATACGAAGATAAACTTGTAAAACAGGTAGTTCCAAAACTTGTCTTTCAGGTGTTGCATCTCCACCACTCGAAGTTCTCCAAACACTAGAACTTGGACAGTTTTTGCAGTTAATATCAGCCCACAAACTGCAGCATTGATCACAGCCTGCAAATAGAGGGGCAGTTATTAAAACATTATTTGAGGGAAAAACACTTTATAAAAATTCCGTTTTCTTTTTTCATGCCTTGAATTAGACACAAATATCATAACGCTCTATCCCGATGGGTGTGAGCTTGAAGTCATCTAGGTCCATAGTGTTATCTTGTGGTTCTCCTCGGAGCTTTCTGCACACCTAGGGTGCAAAATTAGATTAAGAACTTCCATTCTGCACAGGCATGAAATTCAAATTAGCTTCATACGATTGGTAGGTATTTTTTAATGCCATTTTTTTCATCCAGAGACGCCATTTCAGATTTTCGCAGGGCCGGGGAAAAAGTGGCGAGATTAATTTTTTTTTTTTGCTGCTCAGCTTCTCATCTGGGAAACAGCAAACGTGAATCTTTCAAACTTCTTCCCTCGGTTTTCCCGCCTTCTTTTTCCCTTTCCCGCCATGTCAAGCAGTGTTCCCTGGCCAGACTCCAAAACCCAGAGCCCCACAAATTCCTAGCCTAGCACCCCCCAATTGGTGCTCCTGCTTCCATCGCTTGAATAGGAGCAGACATCGTTCGCCTAAAACCTGGTAGTAAACAGGTTTAGCGCCAGAATACAGCAGAAAAACTCCCCTTCTACCTCTTCTTTCTAGAAGTACTTTTCTTCAGTAAAAAAAGTAATTCCATTAGAGCTCAATCATATGTTGAGAAAAATGTCAAAATCTGATAAGCTCAAAATCAGCACCACTCAACAGGTTAATACTTGCAGATAAACGGCACTACTTATGAGAGGTGACTTAAACAATATTTCATTTTTGTGTCAACATTCCATTAAGCAAGCTTTAATAGGAGCGAGAAATTATAAATGTGTACTATCTATTAATATGAGAAAGAAACAATCCTGTACACTCCCAAGCAAACTTTTAAATTTATTCATCTCTTAAGGTGGTTCATTAAGGTATCTGACGTGGTCGAACTGGCATGCAATATATCACACACGAGTTTGACCACGCTAGAAACCGTGACGAATCACCATAAGAGTAGTCTTAATATCGTCAATCTCGATAGAATAGGATAAAATTAATGAAAAGGTTCTTACCCATATACTGAGAGGATCTTGCAAGATAAATGTGATCACGTTCAATGCCCAGGCCAAGAATCCTGATGATGAACTTAATTTCAGCTGATGCACAAGGGTATCAGATGAATTTGACAAAGAACTAAACATGCTTCCCTGAGAGGAGTTGTTTTTTAATCCTTGGTTGTTGTTTGCTGTTTGAACAGCATAGAACACGGAACAAGACAGAAGCGCAGCACTAAAAATTGAATACAATTTTAGACTGGGACGCGGGAGCCCACTAACAAATACACTCGGCATTGTTCTTAAAAAGAAGATCAGTAACACTTAATAATATGGAAAGAAAGAGACCAAATGCATGTGTACATGAAACAGAATGAAAGTATGGTGAATGATAATAGGTTAAAGCCACAGGAGAGAAAAATTTATTTCACACAGCAGCAGAACACTTTGACTACTTGCAGTTCGTTCAATGGCTTTCCATCTGAAATGACGCGTTTAAAATCCGGTTTTTCATAATAGAACGGGATACTCAGTCGCGATAGACTTATGACAAAAAACTGTAAAATCCTTGAAAAGTAAGTTCCAGTTCCACAAGGAGCACAGGCTTCATGAAGATTGGGGGAAAATGAAGATCAAGAGGCAAGGACTAAAATAGAAAACACTTCACGATCACTTGCAAAACCGACGGCTCGTCTGTGACAGTTTGTTGTTATGGATAACTTTCCAATTTACGGTCATTAATAATAGATAAATCATTGAATGACGATAGCTTTCAATTAGGAAAATTTCGACGAAGAAATTCGACGATCTGGTTGTTTGTTTATCAGTTTCAAAGACTACAGATTAATGATTATAATCAAATTGAAAACAACCAAAGATTATTGGCTGGTATTCCACGTCTTCACTCCGGCCAGTGGCGCCAATTTCAAATATTGAAATAATAGAACGAAAACGACGTACTTGATAGCTTAAGTCTTAAACACTTGAAAAAAGCCTGGCAGTCTCACTTTTTCTTGTTTTCTGGACTTGAAAGAAAAAGGCTGAAACAAATCTCTATCAACATGGACTTTACTTCCCTGCTGAGAAATTGACAATGCTGTCCTCACAGGAGCTAATGCACTGGGTGATGTGAAACTCAAACAGGGAAAATTGTTCAGTTCCTCTCATAATTGTAAGTTTGTAAAGTACCTGCTACATGTAATTTCTCCGGGGCAAAATAAATTTTATTTTCCTTCTCATATTCTTGCCTTATTCCTCCGCATCATGAGGAAGAATAAACATGATTTTTCTCAGGCCAGTTGCACAACCGTGAGACAAATTTTTAGTCAATTCAAACCCAAGGCTGTGTGAATTCCCATTGAAAATATTAATTGGGAATAAACCAAAGCAAAGACAAATCATCATGGGGCAACATAAGCTTCCTTATTGTATATTTAGACAGATTTCAAAGCCTAATGGAAACAATATTATCAAAGATAAGAAGCTATGGCAAACCCAGTATATTTTTTTAAGTGTATTTTCCAAAAGAAATACAGGATTTTTTCCTTCACTGGTAGACCTGCTGAGCATCTTATGAGAGTGCCCACAAGCATGGGGATGAGTACAGGAAGTGACTTTCCCTCCGAACGAATACATTGCCATGGAGGCCGCACAAGAATAAGTCATCTAAAAAGATTACTTATTTAAAACTCACTTGCATTTATTAGTTTTGACGGCACGCGCTGCACTCCAAAAGAATATCATTAGTAAAGAGTCATGCTGGTCTATGCCGTTAAAATTAATACGTGCAAGAGAGTTAAAAGTAATCTTTTGAGTGACTTTCTCTCAAACCCTACAGATCCTATGAGAAAAAGCCTTTCATTTTCCTCAAAATGAATATTGAAAAAATAAGGAAGAAATAATCGGATTGGTCACATTATCAACTTTAACAAGCGTCTTTGAATGCTGCTTTTGAATCAAGAATGTGCTTGGAACATTAATTTCTCCAAACTGTGCCATCATTGCCAAACTCAGATGAGCAGGGACTGCATCACAAGATCAAGAAATATAAAACTCATAGAAATTTTTTTCATGAGAGAGCAATGGTGTAGCACAAAAATATCTTTGATCTGCACACCATGACAAACACAACGTACATAGACCCAAACTGAAGTTGAATACTGACGGTGAAACTGCAAAAACGCTTATCTCAATCGCGCTGTTTAAAAAAATTTTCTCCTATTTTATTTTTTTAAAGGGATTGGCTGGGAACCTGCATCATTGCTCGAAATGTTCTTCACATAGAAAGAGAAATTACTAACACTTTCAAGAAATGATGTTGAATAGTTTCCCATATGACAGGAAGTCTGCAATGTTGCAGATGCAATGAGATACGCACTTTTGCCGTTTCACGGTCGATACAAAATGAACTTCAAGAAATAAAAAGGTATTTAACACAATGAAAATTATAGCCAACTCAAAGGAAGTTCAACTTTACACATGTATTTTACAAATTCAAAAAGAAAAGCAGGTAAACACAACAGACTCAAATAATAAACCCTCATTCAAAATTGAGAAATTTTCACAAGAAAAGAAATAAAATTGGATTTTAATTGTATTTCATCCACTCATGTACTCCCAGGATGTGCACAAGGCAGAGATTCAAAGAAAAATTAAAGTACGCAAGAGACTTGGGCTAAAAAAAAACGAGGACACAATGCAAAATTGACTAGAAAACATTGGTGGCACTCAATTTAGTTTGATAATTGGGAAACACTGATGGACCGTAAAGTTGAAATCCAATGGCACGTCCGAATCCCGCTTATGACCTGTTGCGAATAGTTTCAAAACTACGTAGTTTGTCTTAGCGATTTTCAGGAGATTCCTTACCTGGGGGGAAAAAAAACAGAAAATTTAATTTAAAAAATTACTTCAAGAAAGTCCCATTGAATTGACCATTGCACATAGTCAGAAATAAAGCATGAACGTATTTCAACGGTAAAACTCCCAAACTTTGTATCTCGGTTTGAGACACTGGTGACTTCCTATCATACTTTATTTTTTGAATAGATAACTACTTAACATCAATTGAATGAAATTAACTTAATTTTTCTTCGCTGTGCTAGGAAAATTCTGTAAGAACTTCCAAAAATGATGTTATTTTGCCCTTTTTTAAAAAAAATAAAATTGGAGAGGAGATTTTAGAACACCGCAAACGAGTTACGTTGTTTGATAGTTTCACCGTTGATTTAAATTATTTCAGCAAAATTCAATGTAGAGTGCGTACGCCACATTGAAAATCAAAATAAGTTAAAATGGCTCATAAAAATCTCTGCAAACCCCAGTCAACAAATTTCATTCTCTACTTTTCAAATATTTAAGAATTGAAAATTACTAGACAAGCTCATTGCATGCATTTTCGAGCGTGGGTGATGGAAAGTTGGACTGAAAAAGTTCACAGTTAGCGCATCATTACATCTTTCATGTATCCTGTTTGGAGAGAAAAGAATATAAATTTAACCAATCATGAATGGGGGAAGGGACTGGAGCGTTAAAAAACTTCAAATTGATATGCTGAGAGCACTGCTTAGCGAAGAGTTTCGGGAGCCATTTATAACAAAAAAAGATACCATAATTATGGTAGCTTGCAGTTTGGAATAAAAAAAAAACTGAAAGTTAAGGTTTTCATTTGCCATGTTAGGAGTTTAAAACCGACTAAGTAAAATTTGAATCTACTCTGGGATTGATTGCACACTAAGATACCGGAGAGCATTTTCTGATGAAAACTGCAGACTATGCAAGGCGCAAATTTAAGCAATATGATAATGATTTCACATCAAAATTTCACTGAGAACACCATTGTATGATTAAAATTACTGAAAATAACACCTGACTAAGATAAAAAATTTTTAGGCATGAATTCAAACTTCCCGCTCATAAAAAAGTTATAATCTACTTAAGTTCAATCCCACGCTAAACGTTACCATGACAGTTTTTGTAGTGTGAAAATATGACAACCTCAATAGCAGCGCTTCCGCTCTGTTGTTGCTTGTTGATTACACTGAATGACATAGGGTGCAGGAGCAACATTACTTATTGAGAAGCCGGTCACAATCACCGTACTGCGGCTCTGACTTTCCTTGTTTGGAGGAAAAAACAACATTTTCATAACCAATGCTTAATAAAAGCGTTCTTGTCATGGTTGGGAGTTGATTTCAGTAATTTTTGTTGCACAAATCGTGATCTTTACCTAATTTTACAGAGAAATATAAAATCAGGATGTTTAAATTTATACCTCGTTCAGTGGCTTATTCTGTCTTTTGACCAAACTTGATTAAAATCACTATTCTGAAAATTTTGATTCCGTGAGTTGAAGTCCCTTTTTTCTTGTACGGTCTCAAATCAACTATTTAGACGAGTTGTCACCAGACTGAGACTTAGATCTACTGAGAGTTTTTTAAATTTTTTGTCAAAAAAATGTATGCAATACCTCTTGATCTGGGTTGACGATTCCTTCAAACAAAGTTTTGGCTCGATGAAAATGCTCGTATGCGGCTGCGTAGAGCATTTCACTGGAAGACTGTTCCAGAAGTGATGTCATTTCTTGGAATTCGTAATACTGAACTGGCGGAGGAGTGACTAGCATCCCGAAAGGGAAGAACCGGTGTTCGTAGCGTACCCGTTCGCAGTCGAACTCTGTACGAGGCACTCGAATCTTGCCATCTAATTTCAGGCCTAGAACAGCCTGAAAATTAACGTGCAGGTAAGAAATGTTAAATACATGAATAAAGTCATCGGAAGTTTCACTGTAACGCAGATTTTAGGAGTTTCACCAGATGGAACCTAACAATTCTGGATTCCATTCAAAGCTCTTGACAGCCTAATGCTTGCAAAATTGACAAACTTACAAATATTTCAACGACTCTTCTCAGGGCCATCCACTTTGAGCACCACTTATGAAGTTTTAAACCGTACTTCGAAAAAGACACCAAATTTTTTCAAATTTATGGCTGAAGATTGGTTTGTGCAAATTAATTTGAAGCAAATAAAGTCTTGATTAGTCTCAGTAAACTTAACTTAGCATTCTATCACCTATTGTATAATTTTTACTGTGTGTTTGTTATAGAGGTCAAAATTACCTTATAGTAGCCACCGCACATATTCTGCATGGCTTGATTGTACGTTATTTCACGGACAAATGGCCGAGGTTTCTGCTTTTTGGCTGGTTTCCGTCGTGTGGACTTACTCGATAGCAACTGCTGTTCCGCTAGATAATTATCTGCTCTTGTGAGGGATGAGATGACCCAACCATATAAAAATTCATACAGGTACCTGGAGGAAAAATCAAACTTATTTATAATACATGTTTTTGACATATTAGAACTTTCTGTTACAAAAAAATGCTGCCACTCATTCTACGTAAAGTATACTGCACCTGTGTATGGATTTCAATTAGGGCTGAGCAAGCATACTTCTGTAGGTTTGAGTCAAGTTCAAGATTTTTTTTACTGTTTTGAGTCCAGTTCAAGCTGTTTTGAAATTTGGAAATGACTCTTTCGTCAAATCAAGTTCAAGATAATTCAAGTTGAATGTAAAGGAATTCGAGTTGAGTTTAAGAGATTTCGAGTCACGTTATAAAAAATTATAAAATAGTATGTTTAAAAGTTTAAACAGCTAAAGAGCTTAAAATTGCAAAAAACTGATTCTTTTCTAGCTCTCACATGGACTTGCTTCAAAATTGTTGTAAGAGGTTTGTTCAGAGGCTGAACATAAATTTGACTCCAGTTTTTTAAATTACTTAATCCCCTAGGATGGTCACCTTCCGTTGGAAATATACTGGTTTCCCATCATCTTGAAACAAATTTAGTGCTTTGAACAACTGACACCGAATTCAAATTAAGCTATCCAAAAAAGCCTGTACACCAAATTTGAAGCAAATCCATTCATCGGAAGTTGAGATATTGTTTTAAGTCATTTTTAATTTCCATCAGCTGTTATTTTGAAGTATAGATAAAGAATTATTATGGTAACGCATTTTACGTTTTAATATTAAATAAAATTAATAAAAGAGAAAAGTCTTGCCTTTACATGCTTGTGGACTCAATGTCCAAAAAATACATCCACAGAACTAAAAATAAACGAAAAGCATGTAAAGGCGAGGCTTTTCTCTATATTAATTTCATAAAGATAAAGATCTGAACTTTGCGCCGGCAGATTATTTTGTTAAGCTCCTTTCGACAACATATCAAAAAGCAGGAGTTGCCATTTAACACTAAAGTTAGGGTCCATTCCTCCTCCTCAAGGGGGCCCCTTAAAAGTTTTGGAAGGGTCAAAAAATAACTCCTTTTGACCCAAGTATACATCCAGAGTTCCAACTCGACATTTCATTTATCAAAAAAGTTACGGTGGTGGTGCAGGACTGTGAGATCACAATGTAAGTGAGCAGAACTAACAATTTCAGTAAATTCACACCATAAGAAAATATAAATAAACAAATTAAAAAAAAATTTTAATGATCAACGTATCATAGCATAAAAATTTTTTGGAGAGCGTTTTGAAAAAAAAAATGAGGTAGTTAAAGTTCCCTAGAAACTTAATAGAATAAAAATTCAAGGCGGAACAATTCAGTTTTTCTCACCAAAAAACGTAGGTGTACTCATGGACACTGTAGAGCTCCAATTCGAAGCCCGAAAGAAGGAACATAATCATAATTTTAAGTGTGTGGTACAACATCCACGTTCCGAAGCATGCCAGGTGAGTTCGTGGTGGATCGCCCTTCATTGTTATACTATTTAAAAAAGCATCGACTCGCTCTGCCTGGAAAAAATAAAATTCAGCAGACGGTAAAAAGAGGGTCTCTTTAAAAATTACTGTTTGCAGCCAAACTAGAGGTGGTTGATACTCCTTCATGAGTTCAAGAACTACAGGAACAAAGGAAAATGGACAGGTACGGCTTTTGCTGCATTTTTATCACTTGAGTTCTAACGTCCTATGGAAGAACGACATGTGAACATTTGAGAGTTGCTAAAATTCCCTTGATAAAACATGTATTTTCAAGGAAAGCTATGCATATTTTTCCTGGCAATTTTTAGAAATTTAAGATTAAATTACAAAAAAATCTGAGGAAAACTGTTTACAATATTCTCAGTAAATTCGCTTTTTATCCGAGAAAATATGGCAGCGTTGGAGGGCTCATACACCGTCCCTCCTTAGCACAGCAGAGTTGATCTCATGTCAATAAATTAAGGTGGAAAATATACTAGGGTTCAACATTTTTCAACATCGTATCTGATATTATCATTTGATATTTCCTTTCCCCTTTTATTTCGAGGAATACATACTACATTAATTCAAAACACTCTGCAATGCCTCAGGTATAGGTTTGCAAAATTTGATGATGAAAAAATTTGAAATAACTCTGGGAGTTTTGTCAAATGGAATGAAAGGAGACGAATGAGTGATTTTCACAAGACTGATCTTCTGTCCCAAGTACAAGACAGACATCAAAACAACTGGGATTGATGACAAAAGAGAAACTAACCTCATCTTGAAGATTTGCAAATTCATCCATGATACCCGCCAGCCGATCTCTTTGTCTTGCTCTGTTGTGACCGTAAAGGTGAATGAGGCCTTTGAACGTTAGCGCACAGTTTCCAATAAAATGGTCTACATATTCTTTCGACTAGAAGCAAAAACAAAACTTGAATTAACAGTTAATTAATTTTAATTAATTCAATCCAGTGGAGGAAATGTTATAAATAAAAAAAGTTAAAAACAAATGACCATTAAAGAAGAGGTGGGTGAAGAACGATGTGACTGCAAAAATGTTGTTCTTCTGGGTACTGCAAAATTATCCGTTGGGCGTATGCTCCAGAGTTATTTCATGACTGTATCTCACTTTTGGGAGGAAGTTTGGATGGTTGGTTCTTACGAGGACAACAAACAAACTGGACTGGGTTGTGTTACATTTCTATTTTTGCCTAAAAATAGAAAATCAATGCACCAACGTACTACTAAGACTATAAAATATAAAATTTGAGCCAACTTTTCATCAAATTTGAACAGTTTATAACACTTTGAGAACCGGTACAAAACGCAGAAGTTGAGCATTTTTACATCAAAAATCAAAATTTAGGCTTCTCTGTGAATATTTGTAAAACATCTGATAAATCGACTTTTTTTAAATTATCCCTTGATGTTAAATTTTTCCCCTAAACTTTATCCCGTTTCTAGTACCTGGGAAAAATAATTATATCAGTTTCCTACCCTTCTTTACTTTGCCTGATGATCCTTTCTTGCTTAAGTACTACGCTCTTTCCTGACTTATTTATTTATTAGGATTTTTTAATTTATATTCAGATAAAAATTCAGCGGGTTTACCTGAGGATTATTTAGAATGGTTGAGCGTGGTAGAAGAGCAGGCGGAGAAATGAATGACCTAGCAGCTTCTCGGAGTTTTTCAGTCAAATCCCTGTCCCTGTTTTTTGATCCCTGTCTCAGGTAAAGTATTTGCATTATGGAGCGAGATACAATGCACGCATTACTTCTGCTAATGCTGACGAACAGATCCTGAAAAAATGTGACAAAGTGTTGTACACTCCTAAAAAATGTGCATTTAGTTGTGGCCAATGAAATTTTACCTTAACTATCATTAGAATCAAAAACAAGGAATCCTGCTAATATTACTAAGATTTGAAGAGGTAAATATCAACATTTCTTGCATGAAAAAATATGAGAGAGTAGGGATGCAGTGTTTTCTAACCTGTCTTGTTTTTTTGCCCCCGCCTAGCGGCTTTGAACATTTTCCTCATTGACTTTCCGTAAAATTTCAAAAAGGAGGACCTTTTTCTTCTTGTTTCTTTTGATTTGCGACTTTTGACCCTTAAAATCTATCCCTCCTTCCACATTTGAGAGACTTGAAGGACAAGGCGCATAAGTGAAGTTTTTGAAAAAATTGTGTATTAATGATTTAAATTAAAGCTAGTCTTGAAATATATTCTGTACAAAATCTACAGCTAAAATTCAATTTTTAAGCATCAAAAAAAGAGTTTGAACTTTCTTTCTTCCATGGATTCCATGTAATTTCGAAATTTTAAACATGTATTTCTTGAAATAGCAAAAACTGCTCTTACATGCCTTGTCCTCCAAGCCCCTCATTTTTAAAACCACTTTCTATACCTTTGAAAGAGAGCTTTTTTCATTTTAAAATTGGATGAAAATGTTAAACGCTGGGAAATTTCACGTAGAAAATTAAAACTCATGCAATTATTAAGAGAATTCTAAAAGCAATGGGCCTGTTGCAAACTTTTGCTGGAACAAAAATAAGAGTTGTTTCTTATGGATAGTATCTCAAAAATCATGATGAGTGCATCGGCCAAGTCTAAAATGCACTCTTAACTTCACAATTTGCGTAAAAAATTTCCGGTTTTTTGAGCTTCCCGCTTCAAAAACGATACTATGGCACAGGTGAACATTTTGTTGGAGGAATCGTTCCATCGTCGGCAATATTCATCATGGCCAACGCTTCCGCAGTTCTGCGCGAAATTCGAGGTGAGATCAAGGTCGATCAAGGCGGGCAAGGAAAATATGAACGTAAACACACCGATTGTTATCTCGTCGAATCTTGGTCAGATGTTATCTAGTCCCGTCACAAGTGTTTTGGCGGATTGGCGTTGGCCACGAGGAATATTGCTGACGATTGAACGACTCCTCTAACAAAATGTTCACCTGTGCCGTAGTATCGTTTTTGAGGTGGGAGGCTCAAAAAACCACAAATTTCTTATGCAGATTGTGAAGTTATGAGTGCATTTCAGACTTTGCCGATGCGCTCATCCTGAATTTTAAGACATTATCTATAAGAAGCAACTCCTATTTTTGCTCTAGCAAAAGTTTGCAACAGGCCCATTGATTTCTACATTGCAATAAATGAGAGGGCTTTTCTGCAAACAGTTTATGAAACTGTCAATGAAATAGTAATTATCTATTTAATCTCAAGTTTATTGGATATGTAATATTCTTTATATGAATTTAAGTTTCAGTATAATTAAATAATATCTCTTAGAAACTGGATCAAGGACATTTTACATTCTTCACAAAGCATATTAAACTTGAGGGTTACTCACCAGTACTCTGTGAAATGAGGCAATATTGACAACTTTGCAAACTTGCTTCAGGCGGCCGAAAAGCTCTTGAAGATACACAAACGCTTCTGGCCGTGATTTAATTTTGGTGTACCTAGGAAAAGTTGGTGGCAGTAATCTTTGATTGACTAGAGGATCAAATCCCATCATTACAAATTCATCTGAAATTAAATGAAACAAAAATTGTTTGTCTTTTAGGAAAATTAGATATTTTAAATAATGCACATTCGACGATGGATTTTATCATGTAGAAATCAAAATTAAACTCATGGCTGAGTTTATTGGTTTTGAGAGGAATTTCCTGTGCTGAAATTTTGAATCGAGTTGAAAGTTTTCTATTTTGTCACTGGTCACACTGATCAATAAAACTTGACTGCAATTGTAGATGAGTTATCAAAGATGTTACAATAACTACTAAAATGTTCATAGCATTTCATTGTACTGTAAGAGGGGTCTTAAAATCAATAAAGGGCCTAATTATTAAGACCTTGATAAGTCAGTTAAAGAAATTTCTGAAAATTTGATACAGACAAAAAACGACCACGGCTCTGACGTAATACATGCAAAAATTTGGCAGCTTGCAACGTGTTAAACGCGACTGAGAAACCTTCATCGTTACAGCACGTTCTTACCTGAATTTTCTACTTGTACAGGCTGCAGACCTCTGGTTACAGTTTCTTGAAGAGTGGGAATAATTTCTATACACGAGTTTAACAACTTCTGGAACTCCCCTATGTTCGCTTCTTTATCGGCTTCTCTCCAGTTGAGACTAAGCAGGGCTTGATAAAAAATACGGAGTAGTCTGATTCTGGCGTGCAAGGCCACAACATCGTCATGCTGGAGGAAATAAAAAAAAAATTAGAAACAGACAAAATTCCATCAAATTGTTACTCCTAAATTTTTTTTACATTGTTCCTCTTTTGAAACACGATAAATTAGATTCAAATTTGCAGTATTAAAATTCGAAACTGCAGATCAAGCGTTCATTGGCTTTTGAAAGTGCTACCACTAACTTTTCTAAGAGAGAATGGATTGAAGAAATTATCCTTTTTGGAGCTTATTATTCTTCTTGATGATGCTCCTTATTTAATGCAAGAAATTTTTGCAACATTGAGAAGCTCTCTTCAATTGGGAGAAAAGGCCAATTTTCTTGACAAATTCCTTTCGAGTAAAGAAATTCAATGCCTAAGTCCGCCCTTGGTACTGATTAAAATTTGAAAAATCGTCAAGCAGTCTACAGCTCTCTAATAATCCTAAGTTGCAGTAAGAATACTGTCTGTGATTGAAGGGCCACATTGAGATGCTAGTACAGATTACTTCTTTTGCTTGAGGATGTTCGGCCAAATATTGCTGATAAGACTACAAGACGACACATTTTTGCAGTACTGACCTAAGGAATTTGTTGTATTTAACTTTTTAGAGGGATTGGTCGAATGATCATTGAAAATGCGCAAATTTTTAATTAATTTTCTTTCGTCCTTTTTAAGAATATTCTCTAAAAATTTCGCTCAAAAATATTTGGCGATACTCTCTAAGAAAAATTAAAAATAAGTGTTTTTATTGGTTCAATGTTAGTATGTAACGACGCATTGAGTAAATTTGTGGATTTATGTTTTTCATATAATTTCTAACGAACGGTGTATGGCTAATTTTAATATTTTGACTGTATTCAGGTTCCTCTTGAATTATTTTGCAGAATTGTTCAAATTTTCAGGAATATTCTCAGCAGGAATTTATTCCTCTTCTGAGGGGTCTTACCCGCTCTTTATTGGATGAGACAGCAGAGGTCCTTAAAGATTTGGTCAGTTCATCCTCCACCTCTTTGAGGAGGCCGATGGTGCGAGCATGCGGCACCTCTGGGTAAAGGTTGTAGCCATACGTCATGGGTTGGAAGTCTTCCTCCTCAACTACAAGAGCACTATAAGACAAATACACAAGAAATAATCTATTTTATGCACTAGCAATAAGTGAATTTGGATTTAAAAAGGGCTGGGAATGAAAAAGAAATCAAAGAAAGAAACTCAATGCTGAATAATAGAGTTGTTGGTGAAAAAAAATACAATTGAATTTTGTCTTTTTTTTTCAAGGAAAACTAATTAAATGCTTCCTTTCAATTTTCTATGATTTTTTTTAGAAGCAGGGAGGAGAATTTAGAGAAAATTTCAACAAAACCTGTCGGTTAAAATCCCTTACAAAAATAGAATATGACCAGAAAATTACAACATTGCAATCTGAGATTCAAATTTTTCAACACAGCCATCGATATTGCAATCAGTTTGCTGCCAGAATCGACAGTACAATGCATATATATTGTGGCAAGGAATCCGCTTTTTTAGAAAGTCAGAGATTTGGGCCTTGGATCACAGAAAATGCCAATTTCTCACTAGTGGGCCGGCTTGAAAATATTTAAATAGTTCGCCAATATGCTACGAGAAATTCTGATGAAAAAACACATTCACAGTGCTTTATGTATAACCTTGTCTTGTTGTTTAATCAAATATCAGTGAACCCTGGAAAGAACGAGTATTTTCTTACATCCTGGTTATAAAAAAGAAGATTTTGCCCACCAGAAGTGACACTACTTACAAATTTAGTTTTTTCACCACAGCATCAATACTTCTTCTTCCTTCCGATAAAAAAATCACTGATGTTGGAGTAATTCTAAACATACTCTGAGCATGTTTCTATGCAGACTATTGTTTAGTTTCTAATTAGGAAATTATTTTTTATGTCAAAAATACCTGGAAACATACTGTAGATTGAAATTCAATAATAGTCCTGACTTAAAGGACGATGAAGTTCAGTTTCGGTTTTCGCCTTGTCATGGAGCATTTGTTTACTTCTAAATTTAGTAAACTGTCGAGATAAGGATAATATTTTTCAAATTTAAAATTAAATAATTTGGTATAATATTAACTTGAAAAAAGTGCCAACTTCAGTTTGTTCATATATTTGCTGAGTAAAGTGAGCATGTTTAGAACGAGAAGTGACTCTTACCCTTCGACAAAGTCTTTCAGCAACTCAATAATATTATAGACAACAATGCAAAATGCTCGCAGGGGTCTGTCATGTATACTGTGAGGTTTTGACATGTATAAATTGGTGAAAACCGTCTGCGCAAGTGAGTGGCCTTCTAGCCATGAGACCAGACACGCTAGGGTAGCATCGATGATTCCTATCTGTTCTGCTTCAGTTAGACCTTCCATTTTCAATTCATCGGCCTGCAAAAAGGAATATCATGAGACAAAAACAATGTAGCTCAGCCAAATTGCAGTCCGTTTAAGCATGCTATAAATATACAATCCTGGAAAAATTGGCTTGTTTGGAAAAATAAAGAAATGTAACTAAAAAATGTCCTTGACTGAAGTTCCCACACTATACTTTCAAAAAGAGAACTGTCTTATTCGTCAGTTCATTTCAATTGCACTTTAGTACGTTCGATTTTTGCATGGACAAGTGACTTTAACTAGCAAGATTAAGAGAGGGCTTCCAGATAGTGTTGAAAAATGCCAAAATGCACTTGTAGTAACATTTCTATTGTATTAAAAATTATTAACATAATCAGAACATCAAAGTACCTGAAAGTCAACCAGATCCAGAGATGAAACATGACAAGGTGCAACCCAATCCAAACTTCATTTTTAGAATGATGTAAAAACCAATCAATCGAAGATTAGATGAATATTTTGGACTGACATAAGAGGCACAGAACTCATGAGTTGTGCTTAAGAAACCATTGTAAAAAATGAAATAAAATAATTTTTAGTTGAGTTGAGTTTACTGAGTTAGAGAAGCTCTTTCACGATCTGTATTTCTCATTTTATAAAGCTCATCCATAGAATAAAAAATTGTGTAATTATGTAGCTGTTAAACTTAAAAAAGATGAGAATCCGGCATTAACTTACACTTAAAGCTGGAACACGACTCCTATTGCAGAGCATGCCAGCATCCATTTTGGGGTCCATCATCTCGATTGCGGACATGGCTTCAAACAGTCCGAAGAACTCATCATGGAAAAGTTCGCCTAATGAAAGTTCTGGCAAAAGAAAAAGATAGATGATCACACTATGAAAAATCAATTGACAAATTTTAATAACCTCAAAGTAATGTAAAAAACCTTCAAAATCACCTTAGAAAAAAGAATGGGTTTTTTTTATATTACAACCTACTTAGTCATCAGAAAAGGTATGCCTTTCATAAGAAGTACACAGCAGAAAGGTCCTTGTGACTGATTTTCTGTTGCCTAATTTTTTTAGTCAGTTCATCATACATTTTGATCTTAATGTATGATACTTAAGAGTCAAGTTTTGTGTCAATTATCACCTAATTTTAAAAAACTTGAAAGTTTTAGCTTATTCTAGTACTGGTCAATTTTCAGTCAGCATATAGGTATTTCTGATAGTTTCGAAACACTCCATGAAAATGAGCGTTCGTAAGAGGGGATAAAATTCTAGATCCAAGTTGAGGTAAGAAAGAAAATTAATTCTACATCCAATGATATTTTTTCAGATGCAAATTGCTGTTAAGCAAATATTTTCGCTAACAATTCTGGTATCTTGATTCTTGTATCAATAATTTTGGCTTGAAACTTACCTTTAACAGCAGAAAAGAATTCCTCTGTGATGTCCTCTGCATCCCCCATTCTCGGCAATCTTGGGCCCATGTTAGCTTTCCTGGCGAAAGTAGAAGAAACAAATTACAAAAACGTAGGTACAAACTTTCAGGTGCGCTGAGTGACCTATTTTTCTCATTCGAATTATTTCCGTCCACATAAGTTCATGCACAAATGCCTCAAGCTAGCATCATTTCTGGGGCTAAATCATACACAGTGCAGCGCCAACCAACCCTAATGTAATTGGAATAAGGAAGTTGCAACTGATCCTGTCATGAATTAACGGTGGGAATAGAAGTATTTACCTCTTGATTGTTGTGTGCTTGAATTAGGTATCTTAGTTTCTAGGATTATTTAAAGCATTATGTAATAAACCTATGAATAACTGTACAAAAAGCGATTGGCTTGTGATCACCGCAGAGAATAGTACAGAAGCTGCAAAATTACATTTTGCTTGCTTTTAAGCTTGGTGAAACACCTTCTAGTTTCATTTAGAATTCATATGGTTGAGGATGTTGCAATGTGAAACGATAAGCCATCTTCTATGGCACCGTGATTTGAGTGTAATAATTAGACAGTCTCCACATTCAAGTGGACATGTTTCCCAGGAATGAAGAAAAAATACTTGTTGTGCAGGTAACCGACTCAGCATGAATACTAAATCACATGGCTCCTCAGACATTTTGTAACTTTATCGAGGGAAAATATGAATCAATCTAGTTTCATCCTAGATCTTAGCACTAAGAAATAGAATAGATGCGGTAAGTAGCGAGGGTTAGGGTGCTGAGCAAAAGTATACTCATGTCCAGGATTCTCATAAGTTTTGAGAATACTTCCAAGTGTACAGCACCTAGGTGCACTTGAAAGTTTATTTTAATTATTTTATGAGTTGATTAGGGCTTAGCAAAGTGTATCCCAAAATAGTGCTATGTTGTTGAAAATTAAACTGAGTCTGAATGATCTGCGTGTCATATAAAACTAGCCTGTTGGAAAAATAATAACTCCGTGGAAAAGAGGGTACTTACTTTTCAGAGTTATCATCTTTTGTGTACTCGACAGTGACTATATCACCCATTGCGAGTACTGGAGTTAAAAATGATTAATGAACAAGAGTTAAGTATCACAGGTATGCGCAGAAACACACTGTCAGAAGTGAATCGTCACATTAATTTTATTTTGTGCTGGAAAACACAACATTTATCACTAAAGGCTAGAGTATTTGGTAGATTTACAGTTCGTAGAAAAGAATGAGATTCCCCATGCTCTGATCTGAAAAAAAATTGCAAATTTTCATTGTAAGTATCACTATCACTCCTCCCACAACCCACTATCAAAACAAACTTTTTCGAGGTTAGGTCTTCTCGTAGGATGCATTTCATTTCATGACGTCACGTATTCGTCAGCTGACTAGGGCGAGGGGGGCGCTAGTACATCCCCAATGTGAATTTAGGATGATTTTTTTGTAAAATTCGCAGTATTTTAAAAATATCATAAATTTTAAAACCATGCTTCTTTTCATCACCAGGAATCAAAAAGAATTTTATCAAATTTCCTCCGAGAAAATACCTGAGCGTTCGTGTAGGACAAAAACTTTGAACAAAACGTAGGACAAAAAGATCGTTCGATCTGAGTTTCTGTAATCATCCTTTAAGTATGCTGCAAGCTCAAGTGAGCTAATCTACGCCAGAGCTTTGGGGAAATTATTGGCCAAAATAGCAATTCGGTAATTAATTTTATAGAAGTCAATTAATTATGCCTTGGCCATGAAAAATCTAGTGGCAAGTCTTTGGGGTCTTTTATTCGGCTAATATTTATCAATTTCACGAGATATCTTCATCAGAATGCTGAAATTCAGAAGTTCAAGTTTGTTCAAGCAACTGGTTGCAGCAATTAATTTTGTGGTTCTTCAAGTAGGGATACAAGCTTTAATGGTAGTAACTCAGTCGACTGTTAAGGCTTGAATTATTCAACTGCACAACTTACATTGTCAAGACTGAATCAGTTGTTTGTGTGAGGGCTAAGCACAATTTAAAAGTTTTAAAATTGCTTCATGTAGTTCATTGAATATACTTAAATGGGTATACGAGAGAATCTCCTGGTGATTTTGACCGAATTTAAAACTGCATAAGATGAGAAAATTTTCTTCCTTTTTCAGGGGATTCACTCTCAACTGCCCATCCATGCAAGAATGAACTGTTTTTGACAATTATGAAACATTGGGATGGATTTATAGCCCCTTATGATAAAAATATATTTAATTAAGTCACTATCTGAAGCTTTAAGAAGTTGCTAAAATTTTCTAGCAGCTAGGAAAATATTTTAACGCAAAAACTAGACTCATTGAGGTATTTCAAGAATTTTTCATGAGAGCATTATTCTTTGGTTCAACTACTACTGTAAATTCATACTTTGAATCTCCTGCATGGGAAATAATTTAATAAGTGCTGCCTTCTTTTGCAAGCCTTTCTGAACAAAGGAAGGCAAGAAAATTCAGAGAATAATTAGATGCGGTTTTACTTAAAAATGTTTTTCAGTTAAGTTAGGGATGATTTCAAAACCTTTTTATTTCCAGAACGGTTGCCTCTGTAAGATTTTACTTGTTTGGTGAGGAAAGGTTAGCCTCAACAATAAGTTACACTATGTATGTTTGATTCCCTAGATATTGATCATACATATGAGGAAAGAAATTAGGATTAAGAACTAAACGCTTTGTAGTAGACACTTATTGCATTTATTGCTGAGTTTGCAAATCAATTCACAAGCTGTTCAACAAATAAGCAACAAAAACTACAGAAGTATATCTTACGCTATAAGTCATTGGAGAAAAAATATTTTGATGGAATATAATGAGACTTAAAAATACTAAATTGTATAAAAGTAAAAAAATATTGAAATCCTTTAAGTATGATTCAGTTTCAAAAGAAAAAAAAATTGGACGGAGTAGAGGACGGATTGCTTAAGGAATGCTTGTGCGTTTTGCTCAAGATGATTGACAAAAATCTTCATTGTGAGGAAAGCAAATTTAGCAATAATGAAAGTTTTGCTTGTTCTTAGCACAAACCTGATTCATTGATGAAGGCACTCTTTTGGAAACTCTAAACTTAAGCTAAAGTCATTCAAATGCAAAATATCGCATTACAGCTGTTCGAATGAGCGCTAATTATTCGAAAAGAGGTATTGCACATTGAGTATTCAAATTAATCCTTGAATTCTGCTTGAGAGTGGTTACAGCTATAATTTAAGGTTTGGAAAGACATTTTGATACCTAAGTGAAACGAAGCAAATCTATGATTGTGACTTTGCAAGTCTCTGTTCATGCTTGTTTTTTTTTTTTTTTTAAATTAAAACTGATCAATAGCTCTTCATGAGATTTTCTGAGAATCATCTTCATTCATTGAAAAACATTTACAGAAAATTTCAACGAAAAATTGTGATTAATTTTTTTAAGAGGAATAAAACATATTCTGAAATTTTTGAACATTATCAATGATGGTACATATTTTTTGCTTCAAACCATCTATTTGTTGACATGAGATGGCTGAAATGTGCTTCAATTTGAAAGCTTTTGGTATTCGCTGTAACTTGAAAGCAAGAGCGTATTTAAAGCAAAATTTGTATTGCATTTCTGCTTATTAAAATTTGCAGAAGATTCACAATAATTGAAACATTCAAGCTAATCATCTTGCTAATTTCATTACTAAAAATGTAAAACATAAAAAAGGCACATAATATGCGTTGAACAATAAAAGAGTAAGGCTGATGAATCGTAAAAAATACTTAAGTTGAAAGCTAAGTGGTAAAATATTGTAAGTCTTCCTGGTATAACTTCGTCACTGTCTTGTTTCTGATAACAAACTAAGTCTTGTGTATGATACAGACTGCAAAATAAATACTTAAACTTTTAACATTATCCTCATTTCAAGTAGAGGAGGTATTACTATAACTAAAAAAAGTGTAAAAGTGAAAAACTACCTTAATTTCTTGGTGCAAAGGATTTAATGGCACAAACTACAACTATCATGGGTTTTTGATTCAATAAAATTAATTAGCTGCTGTGATAGATCTTCCGACTGAAAATTAACAAAATTTTGCAATGAGTAGCAATATTCAATTAAATTGCAGCATCCAATCCCTGCACACAGTACTACAGTGTTCGCAAATTTTTTTTCTATAGTCAGTAATATGGTAAGTTTGCACTAAATTTGGGCCAATCATTAAGACTTTGTGGTCATTTAAAAAAAAATGTAATGAAGATACAGTAATAAATTATGCTGTTTTGTAAAAAACATTTACGCACATTCACTGATGCCAAAAGAACGTATTGCACATACATAATTGAGCTCTCTCTTGCTGTGCTCACAAGATTGATTTTGGGCATTAATGGATAAAAATTCAGTTTAGTTCCAAGAACTAAACATTGTCAAACACATGGCTTTAATGAAAATGAAAAAATGAATGATGAGTCCCTCAACAACAGAATATTTCTAGATACTAAATTACAACCCTAAACATCTGGACCTCCGCATGTACATGAGCCGAATAACAATCAGATAAATTAATACCCGAAAAATTGCAAGGTAACCTATTTTACGAAAATTTTACGAAAATAGTTCAAGAATCTAAAACTCAATACGTCGCGGAGAGAAAGACGATAAACTTTCTGAAGAAAAATTTTGGATGATTTATTGATGGGGTTGTTGTCGTCGTTGAACCGGCGTGAGACATATCAAATCTATGAAATAAATAATCTTGTCCGATCTTGGCTAAAAAATCTACATCTAAATCAAGATTTTTTGCTTCACTGATGCGATAAATCACATGCCAGTTCAACCATACTAAGAGCCTGGAAAAAGTCACCCTGAGGGAATTTTTCACCGGCGTGAGACATATCAAATCAATGAAGTAAATAATCTTGTCCGATTTTGGCTAAGGAATCAACCTGTAGATCAAGATTTTTACTTCACTGATGCGATAAATCACATGCCAGTTCAACCATGCTAAAAGCCCGGAAAAAGCACCCTGAGGGAATTCTTGGTCATGATCTTCATGCTCGAGAAACTTAAAAAACTGCTGCGGTCAACATGTTAGGCATGAGAGATATGTCGATCAATCATGTTATATATAAGAACTGAAAGGCGAAGTGTAAGAATGAATAAATACACATAAAAAATTTCAGAGGCTACAAACATAATTTGAGACAATATTCCTTTTCATTGAGATTCAGAGTTTTAAAAAAGACTGTTTGCAAGAACTGCAGATATACAACTAACGTCAAATACATGTAAATATCAGCAACGTTTCAAACCAAATACAAGAAACTTAAGGTGTAGTTTTGAGACTATTTAGCTTAGAAATATAAATATTGCTGTGACGACTGATGATGGTAATAGTTATCTAATTGTCAGTGAACACATAGAAAAATTGCAGCTTGGTAATAGTGGGTATTGAGAATATTATCCCTTTTCTAAAATTGCATATCAGTGTGATGAAATGAACACATTTGGGTAAATTTTCGTCTTCGGAAGAGACAACACAGAAAAAATGACTTTGTTCCACATCTAATATTTACTGATGCAGAGTAAAGTTGAGACAAGTATTCATCGGGCAAGTTTTCTCTGAAGGGTTGGAGAAATTTCCCCAAAGAATCACCAAAACTGAATTTTTTTTTAGAATTTTGGAGTCAAAAATATAAAAGATATATTACAATGATTGCAGTTTTTGAGCCTTTACGTTGACGCTTTCATATTGCAGGACTTCAGAATAAGTCAATATAAATTTAAAAAAATTTGTTCTAAAACAATTTCATGCAAATTATGAGTTAAAACCAAGATGATAATAATCGTAATCAGTAACTAATGTAGTAAAATTATTTCATGATATCATTCCAACAATGATCCTCTAATATCGCTTGTGCGATTAGACTTTCAGTAGTTTCAAGTAAAAGTTTTCAGCGGTAATTCCCTATTCTTGTTTTCATTCCACTTTGAGAGATATAATTAAAAGATTATCAATACATATTCATAAAAAAAAAAATGAGAAAAATACTTCCGCAGTAAAAAATTAAGATTGAGGCAATTAAAAATAGACCTTAATGATCCATGTTAGTATCTAACTGCTCTGGCATAACTAAATCATTTACAAACCCCTAAAAGTACCATATGTTGAAAAGCAGCAATAATTCGGTCTGATTTTAACTGATTTTGACTAATCGGAAATCTTGAAAATTATGAAAGTCTTCTCACACAAGCAAACATCTGGAATTGATTATTCCTCAAAAGGAGGCGACTTCATGCATATGATACTCGCTGCTCGTAAGCTTTCTCCTGCCAGTCTTCGACCCTATGTTGCTCTTTCTTGAAATATCTGTCCACGACTTGCGGTCCATACCGCAACATGGCCATAATTACGAAGAGAACGATGGTAACCAGTAGAAGTAGCGGTGGGTAGTAGAAGTGAAACATTTTGATCGGAGTTAGATTTCACTCTCTTGTTGGTGCTTGACAGGTTGTAAGCCTATGTACTTATTGTGATCGTCTGGGACGTCTGTCTCGTAGACTGGCTGAGCGATGAAGTAATTTGCTCTATGCTCCAGTTCCTTCAGGTCAAGAGGCGGCTGACCAGCTGGTGTTTTCACCCAAATTGGGAGCAGCCAACGATTCCCTGTAAAAGAAAACAAAATTACAGTGAGAACTTTCAAAATCAAGCAGATAGGTTGAACGGTTTAAAATAGTTCGAATCGTTGTGATTACTCCTAGAACAGTCAAAATTTATTTTTACAAAGAGCTTATATTTAGATAGTTGACAGTCGAACACTTGAGACAGTGAATAATGCATCCCTATCAAAATGCCTAAAAATGAGGTAACTCAAGCAAAAACTACTTTACTACTGTACTAAAGGGGCGGCGGTCCTTACCAAGATAAGCAGGGATGCAAATTGTTTTCGACCGCGCAACTATGACCAAATTGTAAGAGTGCCCTAAAATATGTGGAGGCGGAGATTTTTTTGTTTTTCTTCTAGAAAGTTTTCAGATTTTCAATTCTTGTGGAATGATGGAACTTTGACATACAACCTATAACTAACCCAAAACTTTGATCAACATGCTGTGTTGACCTCCTCTTAAAAACTCAACAAGTATTGGAAAATTTCAGAAGCCTCCTGAAAAATTGCAGAGGCCTAAGTCGAAAAATTTGCACCCCAACAACGAGAGGTTGGTGAAAACTCAGATTCTGATCAATGGCAGTAACTTGAAAAAAATTGCTCGTGTCCTGCTTCAACGCATTCAATTTCCTAAAACAATTTATTTATTTACATTTTGATACATGAGAGACGCAAGGCTATGGTCTATGTCAAGCTACAGAAAGGACCAAAAAGGAAATTTTACATTTCAGGGAAGCACTAAATATCACAATCGACTGGGCACTAAATAACAGAAAAAGAACAGAGAAAGATGAACAGCTAAAAAACAACGATCACAAATAGAGAATTTCTTGTGATACTTAAAAGAATGAAGTTAGGATAAGTGATAAAGAAAAGACTCAGTCTTGACTCACCTGTATTGCTATCCTTCCAGTAGTGACGATGCTTTGAAAAACAGCAGAGGATGACGTTGAAGACAACCAAAACGATAGTCAATAATGTGCAGACGAATAGTGTCAGATAGAAAGGCGTGTAGTTTGAGGGTTCGTGATTATTGTACAGAGGATTCTTCTTGAACAATTCAGGATCATCCAAAACAGCAGACATTCTAACCGCAAAGGTACATCTGTAGAAATAAAATACGTTTTATCAACTGGGAGAAATGAAAAAATCACAGGCGACACAGATCACAAAAAGAATCGTAAACTTTGGCTCATTGAAATTTCTGACCAAAATCATCCAAAGTCATTTTTGATATTAAACAATTACTAATTATTTTAAAAGATTCANAATCACAAATAGAGAATTTCTTGTGATACTTAAAAGACTGAATTTAGGACAAGTGATACAGAAATGACTCAGTATTGACTCACCTGTATTGCTGTCCTTCCAGTAGTGACGATGCTTTGAAAAACAGCAGAGGATGACGTTAAAAACAACCAAAACGATAGTCAATAATGTGCAGACGAATAGTGTCAGATAGAAAGGCGTGTAGTTTGAGGGTTCGTGATTATTGTACAGAGGATTCTTCTTGAACAATTCAGGATCATCCAAAACAGCAGACATTCTAACCGCAAAGGTACATCTGTAGAAATAAAATACGTTTTATCAACTGGGAGAAATGAAAAAATCACAGGCGACACAGATCTCAAAAAGAATCGTAAACTTTGGCTCATTGAAATTTCTGATCAAAATCATCCAAAGTCATTTTTGATATTAAACAATTACTAATTATTTTAAAAGATTCAGTTTGTTGGACTTCCCTTGAAAGAGAGCCCAAAATCTTGATATCCCTAAAATACAGACCCTTTCAGAAAAAAAAAATTCTCAAAGTTTCATTTTTTACACCTTTAACCGTTCAAAAGTTAATACGAGCTGTATGAGGATTTTTAGAACACCATGGGCACCTGGGTTCGTGTGTTTCCGTTGTCGACACTGAATACTTCAGGTCATAATGAACTCTTTATTTAGGACTTATATCGACTTAATTTATTGAAAATTTCCATGATTATTCTTCTCTGTTGGAAGAGTTTTCTGCAAAACTACAAGCAATGCCTGAATTTGGCTTGCTTTCTTTCGAATAGTAGTAGGTGAATTTTTTACTTTTCCTATTCTCTCATTGTGATTTTTAAGCAACTTTCCATGAGAGATAATCTCCTTTTCACTCTGATAAAAGTTTGCAACAGACTCGTTATTAAGTTTTCTTTTAACATTCCAGTGTGATGATTTAGTTCAAAAGACAGCTGGACGTTGTCGAAAAACAGAGGAATTAGAGGGTGCAGTTCAAAAACTATTTTAATTTTTTGTTCTTTTTTTTTTCAATTGTATTTAAAACTCGAAGCGCCCTATTTCCGTGCAACGACAACATAAAAAGGCAATGAGTGACGCATTTTGTTATCCCTAGAGGAAATAATCGAAGGCACTCTGCCTTTTTGAATGACTAGGTCTGGATGCAACTATTCGTGTCCTCTGGACGTCTGTGTTGCATACGGAAAAATTGCAGGCGCTCTGGTTTTCTCAGGCACAACGAATAGCTGCGGTTGAAAGTCCTCAAGGATTTCCTACATTACATTTTAAAATCGTGTTAACTACGAAATTCTCGAGATTCGGATGTGTCGTGTAGCAACATGGCAGCATTGAAAAAAGGTGCAAATCGCGGAAATATTTTCGGTAGTAGTTTGCGGGCTTGACATCCGCGATACCTATGTGGAAATGTTTTGAGTGAAAATGTTGCACTATGTGGCAACGATGCCGTGATGCAACACGGTTCATTCGAACTCCAAAGATTTCATGGCAAACACATTGTAAATAAAACGTAGAAAGCCCTTGCGAACTACCAACCGCATCCATACGTGGTGCTAAGGAAAGCCAGAGTGCCTGCAATTTTTTGTGTGTGCAACGCAGACAACACGAGAGCGCGAATAGTCGCATCCACACCTAGTCATTGAAAGAGCCGGAACGCCTTCAATTTGTGCCACTAGTGATGAGAAAGTGTGTTAGGTGCTCATCGCATTTATCCGTCGTCGTCATCGCACAAAGATAGGACACTGAGTATTTGATCAAGTTAAAAAGAGAATTACTTAAGTAAATTAATAATAAATATATAAATTAAATAGAGACTATTTATGCGGCAATAACTCTCCTAACTTCATTAGCCATTACACACTTGACCTTCTCCTGAACCTTCTCGTTTTTACTCGAAAATATGTACAAATGGTGTCCTGTTAATTATTTACTATCTTCTGTAGGTAGCAGCGTTGACAAATAGTGCAATTTGTGGGGCCGTTATCGGCAAAAACGAACGGAATCACGACCTATCGTGATTATCGCTGTTCGCAGAAGGGAAAGTTTTCTTATACTTCCAAATTCCCTGACTTCGTAGATATTTTGAACATGAAGTATCAAGAAAATGAAGAATGCAATGATTTGGCTGGAGGAAAAATTTCCGCAGCCAAATTTCTTAACTTTTCCCGACTTATTATAGGATTGGACGAAAGTTCTTGAGCTCGCTGAATGACTAAACACGACGTTTCTGGGTGTAGACAGCAGACGACGCGAGTAAAAACTCCTTCATTTTTCACGATAGGCAAACTGATCTCCCTCGCGTTAATATAGTGGTATCATACACGATCAATGTGGAAAGGGCTTTCCCACGTTCATTACAGTCTCTTTTGATTCCTACATTAATTCTCGTTCGTTTTGTTATCAATCATGCTTATCATTTTACTGATGCGTTCTATGATAGTTCAATTTCACTGACGCGGCGTCATCCTTTGCTAGTAGCCAATCAAAAACCTTCCTTCACCTTTGGTTATCAATGACGTCAAGAGCCTTACTTTAAGTCCACTCAGTTTCACGAGAGATCTCTCGGTGCGGAGACAAGAGGAAAACGAATACAACAGCAAGGGAGAATGGGGTGCACACCACTAAAGGCTTGCGTAAGTTATTTTCTAAGGATGCAATGGGTCTGCTGCACACATGAAGTACAACTAATTGAAGAGTTAATATTTTTGGGGCGATATCACAGGAAAACCATGTTGAGGACATGAGAATTGTGTAAAATACACTTCGAAACACATAATGCGCGTAGTCTGAAGTACGCAAAACTTCAAATTTCAAATTTCCCGCGTCCGTAGGCGTTTTTTTTTCGTAGTCACCGGTAATAATCAGGTTCGCCCCGAGTAAAAGCACCACTGCCGAGCTAAAAAAAATTGTTGTACCTAAATCTTTCCCGCTTAAAATTTCAGTTGTTTAAAGCGTTTTTTTTTGCCTTTTTTCTGGATTGAGAGAAAACAAATCCTTTCAAACTATTTGTTATACGTGAGAAAGATTGATAACAGTTCCTGTGATTGTTCATTCTTCTACACTACTCACTCTTTGGACAAACCTGAGTGCCGGCGACTAGGAGGAAGTATCCGCCGCGCCGCCGACACGATTTTGAAAATGCGTGGTACACTACGCAAATTGTGCGTTCGAGTCTATTTAGGTTATTCTGGCACTTCTGATGTGGTTGGCGAGATTTTTTTGTACTTTATCAAAAATCTTCCCGATTACTGGCTGTATCTCCTATGTGCAACAGACCCATCACTTAGTAACATTTGTGATGTGATGATTCCATCACATGAATTCAAAATCTGTGAGCAGTTTAATAACTTTTTCAGGCATTTTACCTCCCACGTATTCTCCTGAATCTCGCGTTGAGTTTAATTTGTTGTGGACATTGCGAATTATCACGTGATCTAAACATTCAGCTTGATCTGCGAAGCACAGGTAATAATTTTAGCAATGTTAACACTATATCTATGCTTGTTATTTTTGTCAATGATGGACTACCCTGCTTTTTCCGCTTACAAGCAATACTCTTTCAAACTACGGGGTACTATCCCAGATGGCTTTACATTCATGATCTTAGAGAGCAGATACTCAAGAAATTCTACCGGTGCAGAGTAATAAGTTTCAATAAGAGCGAGCAGGTGCGGGAGTATCTGACAATCAACATTTTCCATAGTACGAGCTGCAGTAAAAAGGCGGTTAAAATTTTGAGTGCATAATGTTATTGTTTAAGCAGATATTCGGTGATGAAACGACATTTTTCATATTTTCAGTGACAGAACGATTCTCTCATTCAGAATGGTATCCTCGGGAAATGCTAAAGGTGAGTTGAGCACACTTTCATTTCGCATTGTCAATTTTTTTAACTGAGACAATTAATGAATGAATAGCTTTCTAGTAAGCGGTGTTGAACACACGACATGGGTTTGGCCGACAGTCGCAACGCGATGTCAATGAAACGCCTTCTTGCAGGGATACAATTATTTCTTCTTGGTGACAATGCGGGTTGCATACGGCAAAAGTGAAGGCGCTTCAAGTTTTCTCGTCTTTTAGCTTACAACAGAATTTAAATGACCCACTGAGTCACACCATGCCTTTCGATACTTGTCATATGCACATTTTTGTAGCCTTCTTATCGGTGGAAGGTAAAAATTAAACTCTAAAATTTGACTTACAATTAGACTATCTTAACGAGAGAGAAAAAAAAACGAGGTTGCAACTATCCAAAGACCTAAGCTAGTTGGATGGGAAGGTAACAAAATTTACTCAAATAATGCATTTTCTTACAAGAATATTGATGGCCAAAGTGTAAATCCGCGTATCTCCCCTCTTGACGTTGTGGACTTCCTGTCATTGGTGCTTTTTTTTTCTTTGGAAAACTGATGAAATTGGTTTTTTTCTCATCGAAAAATAAAATAGGAGCGGAAATTTTGAAACACCGCAATGGAGATATGTGGTCTGTCACTTTTGCCATTGATACGATGGTGCAATTGCAATATTCGCCCTTTTTGTCTGTGATTCGAGGAATAATCAGTGATATTTTTGGTGACAAAAGCTGGGCCGTTTTGCGGTGAAAATTATAACACAACTTTCCTAACTATCTTTTAGGCGCATCCACTCCTGGGCACATCATCGACGGCCCAGAAAAATCCAGAAATCTCTCCTTTTGGGAAAGTTCTCCGGAGCAAGACGTTCGTGGACCGGACTCTCCTCATCAAATACGTCATCGAAAAGGTATACCCTCCCTACTGTACATCACTGCTCCCCGGAAGTTCGGCAAGACAACCAACTTACACATGCTGAACTCGTTCTTCAACCCTAGTCTCATCCCCAACCCCCACCAAAAGCCGGCGGGAGAAAAATTCCACCCCTCGTTCTCAACGCCCCCCAGCGGCAGGCAACTGAAAATCACGCAAGAAGTCGCAGTCGTCGCCGCACACATGCTGGAGCACCCGGTGATCTTTCTCGACTTCAAAAAATTACTCGTTACGGACGTCCGATCGTTCAAAAACTCCTTCAATCGGGTAGTTCTGCAACCCGCTTACAGAGCACACGATTATCTGCGGAACTCGACAATGCTGTCTGCCGACGAGCGAAACACCGTCGAGAGGTTCCTAACGTCCACCGTTTCTGAATCGGCCACCATCGAAGGGGGTCGTACTCTACTGCACCTGCTCCACAAGCACTTCAACAAAACCGTTCTGGTGCTGATTGACAATTTCGACAAACCAGTCCAGGCGATGATCACGGATCCTGTGGTCAGCGCCGTGAAGATCCAAATGATAGTGGAATACATCCACGAATTCCTGAGTCGTTTGCTCCGCCTTGAACTGATAATACAGATCGACAGAGATCCTCCTCCGCTTTTCTCAGCAGTGATGACGGGAAGCTCTGAGCTTGCGTCGATTCTTTGCCCTAAGCTCGGGGTCGAGCTTGTAACTTTCAACGAAGACGAGATCGCTGAGTATTACACATTATCCCAAGCCGAGGTGGATACACTGGGCGCCCTTTTCGGCGCTACACCTAACGAGACGGAGTCCTTACGGCAATGGTACGGAGGCTATCGCGTCTTGGACGCAAGTCCTAGGGTGTACGGAATTTACCCTATTGTATCTTACTTCAAGCGAGATAAGCCTGGGAAATTCAAACCGTACTGGGTGAGATCCGGGACCCTGGGTATCCTCCGCTCGCTCTTCAACTACGAATACCTCGGGAAAAGAATCCATTCCTGTGTCTCGGAGGGGAGCACGGCATTTATAAGATCATCAACGCTCACGCTTCGAGACGTAATGGTGATGAAAGAAGTGTTCGATGCCGAGCTTTTAGGGGACAGACGGTACGGACCAGACGAGTTCGAGAAGAAGATCGATGCCGTTCTCAGATTCTTGCTGGACGAGGGGTACTTCACAACTTTGCGGCAATTTACGACTTTAAATCGGACTTCGGTTACAATAAGTATCCCAAACTTGGAGATTCGGTCGGAGCTTCTATCGGTTCTGTACCGAGCGGCTTACATTAAAACCGAGATCGAGAGGCCTACGTTTCTGGAGATCGGTACGAATATCACTTCCGCGCTGGCTGCTGTGAACGAGGCTAACGTTGACGCTAATCTCCGATGGTTTTTGGAGAGTTTTACTTCGCTCCTGGATCGGAGCGACCTACAACCCACCGACGAACTGGAGATGGCGATCATCTTGGGGTCGGTGCTCTATCTCCGCGATCCTGACTACAAGACGGTCGAGTTATTCCGCGAAAAATATGAATACCTGCCGCAGGAGCATGTTGACGCTCTCATGGTTGTGAAAGGTCCTGGCCTGAATCGGATCGGGTATGTCATGGGGATGAAATTTAAGTGGAAGTCAGCGGCTGAGGCTCTGCAAGAGACAGTGTCTCATAGGTATTCGAAGGTGTTCCAAAATGAGAAATTCAGAGGAGATTTTAAGGAGGACGTGAATGTTTTCGTTTTGATAGGGTTGCGCTGTACGGTAACGGAATGCCGCCTTCAATATAATTACAATTGTGATGATGTGAATAAACGGTCACAAGTTATTACTGTTGTTAGACGTGGGGATGTGGTGCCAAAATTTGATGTCCAGCTGGATATTGATTGAAAACCGTTAGGAAAAAATCGATCGAGCAGGTCAAAATGATGAAGTCATTTGGGAGAAGTACTTACTGAGGAAGGGAGGATTTTCACTTTAAAATATCGACTTTCATTTAAAAAAAGAAAGAAACATGGCCCTGGGACACTGGTAAACGAATCTGCATTGATAGAACACCTCCAGTTGGCAAAAGTAAAAGAAAAAATTCTGAAAATCGTTCACTGAGGTAACCACACAGAAACAAGAAACAAGTAGAAAGATTCAACTAGGTCTGGGGAAGTCTATCAGCGTAATATCATATTGTGAATTGGCCAATTCTCCTTGAAGATACCAGTATGATATCAGTGCGCTATATCATGCTAATATCACAGTGATTTCTTAATGATATCAGGCTAGTTTTATATATATAAAACATTGTCATACTGATATTGTGTTGAGCCAGCATGATATCATATTACTTTGACATGATATCATACTGATGTAGACACTAACTGTAACGATATGAAAATTGTGTCATTAAAAGATCAAATTAATGGCTAAGGTGCGAATCCACATGTGTCATTGCAATATCAAAATCTCAGCTCCTCTTATAATTGGACGTATTTCTGTCAAACGGAACTAAGCACCAATTTGAGTTCCTTTTGAGGAATTCAGAATGCCGGATGGCGCGTTCTGTCAAACAGAACTAAGCGCCATGGAAAAGCATGGCGAGTATGGGACGGAATGAGCCCGACGCCCGGTTCTACCGCCAATGCAAGCCCCCCTCTACCTTCCTCCCCCTATGGGGCTTACTTCCGTTTGACAGAAATACGTCCAATTCTTAGGAGAAAGAGGGCAACTAAGTCACTTGCAATTGGTATAGAATATTTTGCTAATAAACAAGAAAAACCAAGAAAGATTTCAAGAAATTAAATTTGCTAGTTTTCCAATGAAAAAATTAAGTGTGACAGGAAGTCTACTATCTTGCCATCGGAGAAATGTGGTTTCACACTTTAGCATCGGAATGATACATTGGTAGGAATTGAGTATCTAGCTAGTCGCCGTAAAGACTTTACTGTCTAAGGCTAATTTCCTTGAGGCAACTACTCCTGACAAAAAAAGTAAACCCTAAATCCTCCTGGGCTGCAATGGTTCTCAGTGCAAAGGTTGATTCATTCAGAACAGAAATTAGGCAATGTTGAAAATGAGAGAAATGAGCCATAAATTTCCAGACCGACGATAAAGCGTCCAAATGCACACCTTTATCAGACTCAAGGTAAGAAATGCAGGAATTCGTAGACTTTGCGTAGGCTACAACATTGTCTTTTCAATTCATATGAGGCTGTAATCTTTAAAATATCTTCAGAATAGTCAGATATATGATTCAGAGTATCCTGGATTAAAGAATTCTGAGAACTCAATGATCTAGTGAGAAAAATTTTAGAATATCTGAGGATATGAGCTTGGTGAGCGAAAGGTGAGCCGCAGTGAGGTTATGTTCCACTTGTTGACTATTTCGTGAATTAAATTTGAAAATACGGAAAACTAAGAGAAGGCTTAAAAAGTAAGGGTACACTAGAAATTAAATTCTTAAGTACATACCGGGCAGCAATTCCAAAAACTCCGAGAATAATCTATATAATGTGAAAAAACGTCAAAAATATCGTCAGTAAACGTCAACAACGCCCAAATGCCAAAAATCCAAACAAACAGAACGCTCCTAGCGGAGATTTTGGGAAAAAAACCACACCCGCTTCTTCAGTTGTACCATGACTACGCGTCACAAACTAGAGGTAGCTCAACTCATAAAGAACGATAAATCATACGAATAATGAGGTTCTTTCATGTCACATATTTTTAAATGTTTATTTTGACGAAATAAAAATAAATGAATCCCTGTATTGATGAAATTAAGGTATTCTTTTCACAACTTTCAGCATGGAAAATTTGTTTGCAGTTGGCAAGCTGTTAAACTTTTCTTGATCGCAAATTTGCATCCGCCAATCACGTATGCGCAATTTTGGCGCGGCATTTAAATTGACGGACACAGAATGCGGGAGCGCAGCGCACTCCCTCCAAGTGAGAAACAACAGAAGTTCTTGTTCTTCTCGATCATTCATCCGAACTTTTTCTCTTGAGAGATTGACTATTTATTGATTGAATATCGACGGTGTAAGTCGGCAATTACATAACTCGGTTTGCGACGTCGCAGACTTCCTGTCATACTTTATTTTTTAAACGGAAAACTACTCAACGGCATTCTTTAAAACTGCCGTGATTTTTCTTCTCTGTGTGAAGAAAATTCAGCAAAAACTTCAAGGAATGATGTCAATTTGTTCCCCTTTAAAAAAATAACATAGAGGCGGAGATTTTCAGACACCGCAAACGAGTTATGTGATTGCCGACTCACACCGTCGATATTCTGTAATTGTTGAAGCTGCAGGAGCTCGCATAGGACCATCGATTTGGGTGAGGGATTTCACATTGCGATAATCCATGTTGCCACATTAAAATTTCATGCAGATTATAGTGAACACTTTTAAAATTTCTGAGTACAACTCGAGGGGGAAAAAGTTCTACCTTTCGTCAATTCAAGCTTCCTCCTGTGACAGAAAAACTCGTTTCATAGAGTGGAATCAAGAACTGGAATAGTTTCAGTATGCTTTACGGTGAAAGAATTTAATCAAAGAGTTGGACTGTTCGCAACAAGTTTACCATCCTTGTGCATCTAAGAGAAAGAGGGATTTTTATTTGAGGGCAAACTCTCATAGTATGCCAGACGTGAAAGTTTCATTTTCAATTGTTGTTTTGATTTCCGTCAATTCCAGTTATTCCTCTAAGTGGAAACTTGAGTTGACAAAATCTAGTATTAACAGTAAACTTAATTTTTTTATTTTCTCTTTTGAGTTGATTTTTGAAAATTTCAAAATTTTATTTTTTTGCATAAAATACTGATAAGTTCGTTTAGTCCTTTAATATTAATGCTGTCTACCTGTGCAAAGCAAGTAGGCACCATTTTTAAAACTTTTTTAAACAATCAAGGACCAGCTGTCTCATGTGTATCTCCCAGGGGGTTTAGATATTGTCCCAATATTTTGATGTGTTTCATCCCTTATGAATTTATCTCTCTATTTAGTGGCCGAGAGAGCTTAACAATTTATTTACCCCTTGATGAAACTCTGTATTTTAAGGATCTGAATTCAATTCGCAAAGGAAATGGCTACATTCAAAAATTCCGTACCTATGCTAGCAGTATTACAAAGCGTGCCCATCTTTTCTCTTTTTTTCGGAGAAAACTAACCAGCATCTTCTTTTGAATGTTTCCAGTGTATTTTCTTCACACATTTAAAAATAATTACAAGCTATTTCAAGCAGACATTTCAGTTACTTTTTTTCGTGCAAAAGAAATAAAACATATTATCAGAGAGGAATCTCCCTCACAGAGGGAATATCTTCAGCCTTATTTTGCCATACGCATCGACCTTGCTGAACTAACGGGTTAAGCCTGATTCCTAGTGCAGGAAATGAACAGCCCTTTTCTCTAGATTACAGAAGCTGACAGAGTCCAACCTCATCATTGGTAAACCAAAAAAATTGACTTAAAAGCTCATCTTGTCACTCTTCACACTATAGGAATGAAATATTGAGAAATAAATTAAGTTTGAAAGTCAGTTTGGTACTTTTTGGATACTTTAGTTACTAGTTTTAGAAGCGAGGCATGTGTTAAAATCACCCACCAGTAAAATTTTAGTGGAAAATAAAACTATAGAAGGAAATAGATGGTTTTCCCATCATCTGATTGTAGAGTACAGCCCATCTCATTTGCCTGAATCTGCTTATTAAACAGTAGTCTCCTATTTAGCAAGAAATCTTGGAGGAAATTCTACTTCTATGTTTCCTAAAATAATGGCAACTACGAGGGTTTCATTTCTAATTTTATCCTTTTTCTCAATAGAAAGAGGAGGTATGATCCTACAAAACATCTCTGTATCTGTCTCCGAATCTTAGCAACCTTGATTTCAAATTTAAGTCATCTTGGGTTTCTCAAAAAGGTCTTGTACAAGGCGAAAAAGAAAATAAGATTTTTTAAAAAAACAGGATTTTTATTATAATTAAAAACAAAAAAAAAGAAAAGATAAAATGTACAGGGGGGATATTAAAACCTATTAGATTATAATTTAAAACAAGGACTAGTAGTGGGGGTTTAAGCTACAGATACTGTTATGGAAACGGGATCTACGACGGTTTGATTCACTTCAGCAGAATTTACGGCATTCACAACTTGGTCTAAGGGTGCAGCAATAACGACGACAGGCTGAACAACTTCATAAGTTATTGTTGAGGAGACTGGTGACAGCGTTGTTTCCTCCCGCTGCGTCACAGCGACTTTTTCTTCATCCGAATCGAGGGTTTTGATTGCACTTTCTGTTGTTGTATCTTCGATATAGTTGTACATTGGGCGAATCGTTTCAGTATATGAGAAAATCACTGGAGAAGCTGAAAATGGAAGGTAATTGATCAATTAATTTATCAACTGAATTCAACTTAATCTTGGCATTTACAAGAAATCTTCAGCAACAAAGTTTATTGTCAATAACTATTTAGAATTTGATGTGCCATAGTCTTGTTTAAAGACTAGACAACATTTATTCCTATTCCAAGACGCAAGGGAAACAGGTTTATGACAAGTGTTTACTAACACCAAAATTGAGGTGTCCTTGGTAATACATCACTTTACACGATGCTGGACATAGTTTTTTTTTTAAAACCGCATGGAAAAGTCTTCACTGATATCAAAATTGAAAAATCCTCCATGATAAATACCTCAACATGACGTCTTAGATAATTTTTCAGAGACAGGAAAAATAAAAAGACAGATGATTTAATGCTTCTCATACATTTAATATTTGATTGCTCTCTGGTACTTTCTCAGAAAAGCTAACAGAAGAAGCATTTAAAGGTTAGATAACTGCAACCAGGATTATCAGGTAAAAATATTACAAAAGGAGCCTAGGCATAAATGGACGTACACAAGCACACAACAACAAACAACACAAACATGACAGGCCCTTAATGTCTTAACTTCAAAAAAATCTATCTAGACTTGTCCTTGGTTACTTGTGTGAAGTTCCAAAATAGGAGGAACAAACAATGCCAAATTGCTCTTTGCAGCGATTACTAAAGATACAACTCTGCATTTAACGTTACTTCCAATCTAAGAATGAACAGCTGACTTTAAAATTTTTAGAATTCTTTATCAACATTCGTAAGTATTTAAATCAAAAGTAACTGTCATCATCATGGATTGGACCCTGTCATGCATGTATTCTCTTGGATATCAGGGCATATATGACGATGGAGACACTTCCTTTAGATTTAAATACGTCCACATGTATTGTAAATCAGTTTTAAAATTTAAGACAAAATACTACTCACTCTGAGCTGTTAGCGTTCTGAACTTCCGAACGCTTTTTTTCAAAATTGAGGCTCTACTATGAAACGTTTTTATAAGGACCTTCTCAATCAACAGAGATCAACCATAATTTCTCTGTAAAAATCTAGTTTTCTTTCAATTTTTTTTTTACTTTACCTTTGAATGAACTTTTCACTTCTTTAGATCACAGCCCTATTACATTCATTGAAAAAACTATCAAACAAAATCAGATTCTCAACTTTGCAAAAAGTAATGCCCTGCTTTGCAAAGTTATTTCAGTCTGTAAAAACAATGAACGTAACAGACTTCAATGGGAAAAATAACAAAATCCGTACCTGATGACAGCAAATGACAACATACGTACCTTGAGAGGTCTGGACAGTGGTGGGCTGAGTGGTGGTTGTTGTACTAGGAATACTTGTCGTACTGGTGGTGCTTGGCTCGCTAGTCGTGCTTTCTGTCTCTGTCGTGATGACTGTGCTTGTGGCAAGCGGTAGCTCTGTTGTTGTACTTATTGTCGTTGTGGCTGTTGTCGTTGTTTGAGTAGTCGTCTCCAATGTTGAAGGCGTTGTTATCATGGGTGTCGTAGCAACTGTTGTTTTCATTGTTGAGCAGTCTGTTGCTTCAAATCCGTGGATTTTTGACTTGTTCTTCGTTTCCATTGCTGAGAAAACTCTCTTCATTTCTTCGTTGCAGAGAACTGGGTTGCCTGAAAAGTGACAGTAAAAGTATTTTTGAATGCCTTGAATGCTTTAGAACATTTAGGATGGATCATAATAATTGAAGCATTGGGTGCAGAGAGGGCACTCCTGGCTTTTCTCTGCCAAAATTTCATCTATTACAAGGAAGGCGCTGCTGTGCTAAGGAGGAACGCCGTACACGCATTCGAATCTTGCAAAGTTTTCTCTTCGAATATATTTACTTTAGAGGAAGATTATGGATTGAAATTTTCCAACTTTTTAAAGCAAATTACAAGCAAAATTTCTCTAAAAAATCGGAAGAAAAATCTGTCCAAATTTGTCCGAAAATTCTTTATTTGTTAAAGGAAATTTAGCAACGTCTGAAGGCTCATACGGTGTTCTTTCTTAGCAAAGCAGAGCAAATATTAATATTGTGTTGAAACTTTTACTGAGTATTCTCTAAGATTTTCCAATGTTTCAATCAAGAACTGGCAGAAAAATTACCCATTAGTTCCCCTGTCAATTTGAAATCAAGTAGCAGCAGAGATTCTGAAATAACACAACTGAAAAATACCCTGCTCCCAACGTAAAACTAAGTTAATTTTGTAAAGTTTGAACAAAACTTTAAAAAAAAGCTGCTAGTAGGGAAATTCTTTCTGCCGCTCTAAAGCTTTCAGGAGTAAAGCTATTATAGGAATTAACCCTCAACCCCTGCATGGAATTTTTTTGCGACGCCGATTTTTATGAAAAAAATATATGTTATAGTAAAATGAAATTAAAAAGACACGTCTTTGAGCTTTCTGAATTTACTATGAATTAAATAATTGCTGATGCCATATGGCAACGCGATGCAGTAAAGGGTAAAGAGAGGAGAAAAACTAGAGGGAACAGGCTCTCGCATTTTCTAGTCTCAATCGTTATACAGGGTTGAAGAAGAGAAGAGGGGTTCTCATAACCCGGATCATCTTAGACTGTTTTCAACGTATGTCAATCCTTGGGCACAAACAAGCATCATCCTTTAACTGGACATATTTCTGTTAAACCGAACTAAGCGCCAAATTGAGTTCCTTTTGAGGATTTTAGAATCCTGGATAGCGCGTTCTGTCAAACAAAACTAAGTGCCATGGAAAACCATTGCGAGTATAGGACGGAACAAGTATTGCATTCCGTCAATCCAAGTCCCCCTCTCTCTTCCTCCCCCAGTGGCGCTTAGTTCCGTTTGATAAAAATACGTCCAACTCTTTTTCAATCACAGGATGATTTTCTAAGTTGATTCTATGAAAGCCCACAAATCTTTTGAAAAAAAATTGAAAACGAGACTTGAATTCACTGGCCCTCAAGTAGAATAAAACTTGAACAAAATTAGGATTCGAAATATGAAAAAACTGTGTACTTACCGTGTAAATAGATTTTCAAAGTGCTGTTCACACCGTACAGTTTACATTGTGTTTTCTCAATCAGTTCCAAGTGAACGGTGTGAATTTGATTGTGGCCTAGATCAGCCCAACAGAGCACCGGTAGTCCATGGAAGTCTCTTTCCAGTAGTGTCAAGGCATTATTGTGTGCAATCAATTCTTCCAATGAAGGTAGGAATGTCTAAAAGGAAAAGTTTCAAAGATTCAGCATAATAAGATAACATAACCTACCATTAAAATTATTTGTTACCAAAGTAGTAAAAGAAAGATCTTTAAACTTGAAAAATTTGGCGGTAGTTTAAACATACTAGAGAAATTTGCTCCACATATTTTTTTATTAATTTTTATTGTTTCTTCTATTCTTTGCATTATTTTTTTTTCATTTAGTTTTGATTAGGTACTTTTGCACTTTGATGCTTATCTACCTATACTGCCGTAGCCATTCAAAAATTTGTTTCTCCACTCACCCTTGCTGTTTCTTCCAGAGTTGTCAACATATTATGGGATATGTCCAACATTCTCAAGTTTTCTAATCCCATGAGACCACCTGCAGCGATCCGGCTCAGCTTATTGTGGCTGACATTAAGACGCTGTAAACCTTGGATTCCAGATAATGACCCATCTAGGGTTTCTAATTCATTGTGTTCCAATTTCAGCTCATACACTCGTGTTTCTAGGTCCACCAAAGTCTGGAAAAAAATTAATAACAACAAAGAATAAACTTTCGAGAGGATATTTTCAAAACATGACCTCTGTCTTATAGGTTTCCCCCGTCTTCATAAAGTACTTCATTTATTAAATTTTCATTGATTTCCAAGAACAGTTCTGGATGGCTAACGCCACAATTCCTGATCTGCTATCCATACAAACTTTATTAAAAAAGGACAGGAGGAAAAATAAAAAAACCAAATGATCTCAGTTGATTGATATTAGAGACAGATTAAATATTATGCAAAATTTGTCAGTAATCCCAAAAATTTTGAAAAGCATTATCTTCTGCTGCGTCTCAATTGTAAATATCCGGAATTTTTTTTTAAAAATAACCGTTTGCTCCTTAAACAAAGGAGGAGAAAAAGAAAATGCGGCATAATGAAAATGCGAGTTCAATCATTTATTAAATCACAACAACAAGGATTTATTTGTGCAAAGAGAGAGAAAAAAACATTCTGTTTAAGCAAAACAAATCGGTTAAAAAAATATTTTCATGATAAAAATCTGTAAATATTGTGATGAGTTAAAGTAAACAATTTGCCAAAAAAAGCCGTGATGAAATTTTTTGGGCTTACCTCCATTTTCCCACCCAAACGCACAATTTTATTGTGCGACAAGTCTACGATTCTCAATTGTTTCAAGCCTCGGATGTCCTGCAATGAAAATTCTTCTAGCCTATTGTGTGTCAAGTTGAGATACCTCAAAGATCTCAATGGAAGCAAGGAGCCATTCAGAGCTGTCAGCTGGTTGAACCCGATCTGAAGATCCTCAAGATTTTCTTGCTCTAAAAAATCGTGAGGCGATAGCTGTAAAAATCACGGAAAATTTTCTTTATTCATCACGTCTTCCACACATAAAGGAGAGAATAAAAGACATAGTTATGCTAGAAAAAGTCATGCAATTTTGAGACAGATTGGTGAGGTAATGAAAAAATAAGCGTTATTGATTTTCGAAGGTGTGGTTGATTCTGTCACTAAAAAGAAAACCAGTAGCTTTCTAAAAGAATGAATCTGCAAAAACCACAAATCCCTACAATAACATTCCAAAACTTTGTACGGCTGCAAAGTACTTTATTTTTTTGGAGGAGAAACAAATCAACCTTCATGTCTTCGCACTTTCCCTAGAATGGCAAGGAGGTAATGCAAGTTGAGTGGCTTTCTTCCTAAAAATCAAGGTGTACTTGACAACTTTAAAACATTGCAACTAAGATACGTTGTATTAAAACTTTTGAAAAATTTAATAAAAAACTCACGCTTTCACTAAATGATTATTTATCGGACGCGTTTCGTGAGTCAGCTGATGATGGTGGCCCCGGTAGCCACCGGAATGCGTCCGTTAAAAAATCATTTAGTGAAAGCGTGAGTTTTTTTTTAAATTTTTCAAAAATTTTAATACAACAGCTTTTACTGTTTAAAATTTTGATCGTTTTATAAAAATTAAGATATATTGTCTTGGCATTAGGCTATTGAGGTGTATAAAACAAAAAATTTCTAAAGAAGAAATTGAGGAACCTACGCTCTCAATTAGATTGTGAGAAATGTCCAGCTCTCGCAACATTCGGGCTTGAGACAAGGACCCGTTGAGACTTGTCACTCGGTTGTGGTGCAACAAGAGCATGTCAAGAGAGGGAGCGAACTTGAAAGAGTCGGGGAGTTTTTCCAGCGCATTGTGCGTCACCGTGAGGAAACTCAATTTGGGCAGATAGTCCGGGAATTCATAGTCAATGTTTTGAAGTCCATTTCCGCTCAAGAGCAGCCAGACTAAATCTGTTAGGCCCCTGATCAAAAACAGATTAAGTTAGACAAATAAAAAAGTACGTTCCTTTATTATACAAACGAGTGCAATAATTAGAATGATAATGAAAATAAGGATGAAAAACAAGGAAAGTACACTTAATGTAAGAATAAAATCGCTAAAATTGAAACAAATTCCAAACTTTCCTTCCTTAACTTTTTCCCTGGATGATGTTTCGGAGGGTCCTCTGCCCTTCGTCCTCAGCAGTAATAGTGCGACTCTGATAAAACCTTAAAATTTTGAAATTCTAGTTAAAATGATAGTGAAAATAAGTTGCACTATCACCGCTGAGGAGGGAGGGTGGCGGACTCTCCAAAACTGTGTCCAGGACCAAAATTAAGAGAGGAAAGTTGTGAGTTATTGAAATTTTAGCAATTTTATTTTTAATTTAAGTGCTGTAATTGTCCACCAAACTTTGGTTTGCCATCTTAAGTGCTGGCAATTTTTGTTGGAACACTTTGATTTGATATTTAACTTTTGAGTTTCACTTTTAAATTAAAAATGTATAATGTGCTGAAAATACGGTAATGAATTTGATTGTATCTAGAAAAAAAGGAACTAGCGCAATTCTACTGTTCTTAAAATGTTGCTTCTTCATAACTATCTAAAAAATCTCCCAAAATAGCAAATAGTTTTTGCATCCCACCAAAAAATTGTTAATTTTAAAGGGAAATAATTACTTACACGTGTAAGTTCCATTACTGTACATATACTTAGTGCTTTTTAAAAGAAAGAAAAAAAAAGAGTCGGACCATTTTTTAAAAAAACTGTAATCACGCTGGTTCCTTTTTACTAAATGCGATCCAATTAAGAAGATAAAAAATGAATGATAACATTGCATCATTCACAAAATGTGTGCTGATATTTGATTTCCAAACAAGGGAGTCAACCAACACAATTGATTGAAAGTTGTCGTCATTTTTCCTTTGCCTCAAAAAGATTTCTTACTCTCTCCAGGTACCACACGTGTTATCGATGGCCAAAGTGCGAAACCACGTATCTCTGTTTCAGTGGCGTGGCGTGCTTTGCGATACATCGATTTATCTGTCTTTTAAACCTATGGAAAAAGATCGATAATCAGGGTGTTTGCAACGAACACCGTAATAATCTATTCTTTACCATAGTTTTAAATGAGGAAATATCGATAATTGATCATTCACGCCTCGCCACTGCTCCGTTTGCGACGCTTCGGTCTTCGGTATTGTTTTACTTTATTAGGCATTTCTTTGGAAAACTAGTTAACGTGATTTCTTGAAAGCTTCCTTTTTTCTTCTCTGTTAGGAGAATATTCTGTATTTTCAAGCTGTAATGTTGGATCGTTTCTCTGCGCAAAAATAAAATAGGAGCGAAGATTTTCAAACATCGCAAAGGAGATACCTACTTCGTTTCGTACTTTGGCCATCGTTTTACTCACTAGAGCAGCTTGGTTCAGGAAAAAACTTATTTTGAATAAACATTCTGAAAATTGCAATGTTCTGAAATGAATTATCATAGAGAAATCCTGTTATGGACATTTTCAACAAGACGGGAAGAAAAGATGACATACCTAAGTGCTCCATTCAGACTGGATAAACTATTGGCACCAAGATGGAGATACCTCAATGTGGGCGGCAGCGAACCGTTTTCGAGGTACGAAATATTATTTGATTGTAAAATTAATGACTGCAGCAATGGTAAGCTCTGAAAACCATTGAAAAGACATGAAAAGAAATCAATACAAAATCCACAGTTCAAAGCATGAAAAAACAAAAGCGACAATCTAGAGAAAGCATAACATAACACCTAGTACCTAACAAAAGAGAATTTGGTGAGCCATGGACGTGGTGCCCATGAGATTACGGAGGGATGAAGTAAAGCGCTGTGCATTAATTTCAAATGAAGGCGTTTTTTACTTTTCTCGCACATGCCCATCTCTCAACGGTATGAGTACCCTTTCACTTAGATTCTATCGGCGGTTAAACTGCAAAAACGCGTAACTCGCTTTGCGACGGTGCGGACGTCTTGCCATTATTTACTTTCTGAATGGAAAAATACTACTGAACTTTCCTCGTTTTCTTCTCCGAGTGACGAATATTCTTACGAAACAAGCAACATTGTTGGCTGGTTCCCGTGAAAATACGAGAAAAAAATATCCTCGTAAAAAGAGATCGGAGATTTTCAAACACTGCAAACGAGATACGCGTTTTTGTACTTTCAACATCGAATATGTGAGGGGGGGGGGGGAGGAGGCACCAGTTTATCTGTGGTATGGTAGGTAACCAGCGGCTTGATTGTTGAATCGATGTCGAATTACCTTGATCGATAAAAAACATTGCTAAGATGGGGATTTACCGGTGAGGATCATTCGATAAAAAGCATTGTTAAGATAGAGACGTATCGATCAGGATCATTCAATAACGATTCAATAATCGACCCCCTGGGGTCAAAGCGGGTACTCGCATCGCCAAAAATGGACTTTCCGCTCGTCCAGACCGTTCAAAATTAGACGTGTTTGATTGGGCGATACCGTTGATGTTCGTCTGCCTTTACTTGAATTTTAGTTAATGTTTCAAAGTTTTATCGATTCAATCAGCATTTTGGGGTTTTGATCTTTGGAATTTCAAAGTTTCGGCGATATTATTTTGGTAGGTTTTCGAAATATTAACCTCTAAATTTCGCTTAAATATCTCCAGTCCTTCGCTTATGGGCGTGTTTTCGCGCGCTTCAAATCGCGTGACCAATCAGACACGGTGGTCTTGAAGCAAAAAAAAATGCCACAAAAATTTACCCAAAAACGGTTTGCAGAAGGTGAATTAATGGTGCGCTTATACTTGAGATCGCGAAAAATCTAAATCTTGGCTGATCTCATTATCGAGATATAGCAATCTGAAATTTGTATGGTAAATGCAAGTTTTCTACAGAATTTGATCCGGTTTTTTTATATATTTATCCATTGAGTCGGTGTCAATCAGCTCACATTGATCGACTTGCGTTTTTATTTTTCGTTCGAATACATACCTTCTCGTTGCATGCAGACTCCTTTGCATACTCTTTCCATAAACTGAACGACTTACCTTCTGCTGCATCTGCAGCAATTGTTGTTACGAATATGTTGTGCGTGCAGATTTTAGCTCGATACATATTCGACTATCGGAAGGCGTGTTATGTGCGCAAGCAGTGCAGTCTGTCGGAGAACGAACGAAGTAAGGATTGGGCGATTCGTCCAATCTCACTTCCGTTGTTTTCCAACAGGGTGCTCTACTTCCGCACATAAAACGCCTTCAAAGAGTCAAGTATGTAATGCTCTAAAATCAGCACGCACAACATATTCGCAACAACAATTGCTGAAGACGCAACTGAAGGGGAATCGCTTGTGCACATAAAACGCCTTCAGAGAGTCAAGTATGTAATGCTCTAAAATCAGCACGCACAACATATTCGTAACAACAATTGCTGTAGACGCAACTGAAGGGGAATCCCTTGTGCACATAAAACGCCTTCAGAGAGTCAAGTATGTAATGTTCTAAAATCAGCACGCACAGCATATTCGTAACAACAATTGCTGCGGACGCAGCTGAGGGCGCATTGAAAACAACCATATAATACACGTTGAAAAACATTTTAGCTCCTTAATTAATATTGTTACAAACAGAAAGTTGTATTTTACGATCATTTTATGGGGGATTCTCGAAAAACTTTTCACGATAAACTAAGTTGAAATACAAAATAATATTTACCGCCATGTTTCAGAAAAGCAGTAGAGCGAAACGCGGAGAAAATCGATAAAAAGAAACAGCAGAAAACTTGCATTCACCACCAAAATTCCAAATTGCGATAGCTCAAAATTTGGATCAGCCAAGGTTTTGATTATTCGAGATTTTAGGTCTAAACGTACCATAAGATTAACCCACTGCGACCCGTTTTTAAGTACATTTTTGTCGTATTTTTTTTTTTGCTTCAAAGCCACTGCCCTGTGTAGAAAACGGACTATCCAGCTCCAATGCCTTTTTATACAGCGATCCGAGGATATTCCATAGTTCATTTTGATTGGTCAATCTCGTCTCCGCGTAAGACGGGAATGCGAGAGCCCGAGCCCGCTTTGATTCTAAGTTACCCTAATCCAGTGGCGTTACGTGGGATGCTTTGCGATACATCGATCGGTCTGCCATTTAACCCTACGGAACAGGATCGATAAACGGGGGTTGGCAACGAATCTCTTAATAATCGATTTTTTACCACAGCTTCAAATGGGGAAACATCGATAATCGATCGTTCACGCCTCGCCACTACCCATACAGGGTGTCCCAAAAGTCCGTACCCCCCCCCTCGTAACTTTTGAACGGTTAGAGATAGAAAAACGAAACTTTGGGAATGTTTCTATCTTAAAGGGGTCCATCTTCTAGGGGGGGGGGGGTCAAAATGTTTGCCCCCCCCTCAGGGGGGCGCGGGGGCCCCCAACTTTTTTTTTCAAATGGTAACCCCTATCTTGTGATACATCATTAGAAAGAGCATAAAAAACTAAGAATTTTGGCGCAAACCGCAAATCAATATCTTAATTTTTGACCGAGTTATGATAGGTCAAAGGTCAAATTTGACCTATTTTCAAAAAATCATATCTCCGGTTCAAATTATCGTAAAGAAAAAAATAAAACGGGAAAATTTACCAAATTGTAAGCACTTTCAAGTAATAATCACAGAAATTACTTTGGGACTTTTGGGACACCCTGTATATCCGGAGGGTTGACGTGGTCCTTTGCTCGGCGCGAAGAGTGAGTAATAATGAGAAATGAGACTTGTGTCGTAATTACCTTGCACTAACCTTAAAGTCGTAGGAGGTGAGGTTTTGGATGTGATCTCGAGACAGGTCCAGGATTTTGATGAGGGGCATGTGTCGGAGCACGTGCCTGGGCACCTCCGTCAGCTCGTTGTCGGCCAAACTCAGCGACTCTACCCGGTTCAGCCCGGCGAAACTGTCCTCCGAAAACTCGCTGAAATCAGAAATAACATCCCTTCGGTTAGATCGTCGGCATTATTTCACCCTCGGGCGAAACGTGAAATCAAAGAGAGTCACACTGAAAAAAAAAAATTCGGTGTATTCACTAAGAGAAGGATAAAATTACCAAGAATTCAGGGTTCTATTTGATTCCAGTTTTTTCTTGGTGAAATTACCGTTTATGGTATTGGTAATTTTACCGAGAAATCTCGGTAAAATAATTGAACTTTCTCGGTAATTTTACTGGACCTTGGTAAAAACGCCAATATTTTTTATCGACTGTGGTAGAGTTACCGAGATAAAAAGGCAAAGTTACCGGGAATCGATTACCAATAAAAGTGGTATTCTTACCTGAAAAAAACAGTAAAAATACCGGCTTTTAGGTAAGCTTACCAGTCTGTCTTGGTAAAATTACCAATAATTGGTAAAAAAGTGAGATGGTAAAGGTACCAACGGACCTTGGTAAAAACGCCGAGAATTTTTTTTCGGTGCATATAGGGTGCAGGGTGTCCACTAAAACAGGCTGACCAAAAATCAGCACTTTCACAGTACTTTCCCAAGAAATTCGGTACCTCCACAACAAAAATTTTTCAGATGATTTCATTCGTAATTTGATCTAAAAAGTCTGAAAATCCCAAGGTAAAAAAATTCACAACTTTCGTCAAAACTGAACGTTTCCTGAGAGAATATTTGGCAACATTCGAATGCTCATATGGACGTGTTTATGCTAAAAGGAACTATGTCCCACGCAAGACCTATGCACCTAGTTCCTTTTGGCATAAATGCGTCAATATGGCGTTTTTACTTATCACGGCAGAGTAAGAAGTGGTAAAACCCCGGACGCTGACATGGAAATACGTACTCGTACTACCTAACATACCCATTGATAAAACTGCTCCAGTGGCGTGGCGTGCTTTGCGATATATCGATTGTTGTGCCATTTAAACCTATGGAAAAGGATCGATAGTCAGTCAGGGTGTTCGCAGCGAACACCTTAGTAATCGATTCTTTACCATAGGTTTAAATGGCAGAACAATCGATATATCGCAAAGCACGCCACGCCACTGAACCGCTCGCGATATCGTCACACCATATCAGCTTAAAGCTGATGATTTGAAGACGGGTGATGAGTGGGTTAATAACATTGCAACGCTCCTAAGCTTCACCGGGAAACTTGTTTTTTCATTCCTTAAGAGTTGTATGTTACGGATGAAGAATTTCAGAAATTTTTTTTCGAGCCACGAAGAAGAAAAAAGAAATTACAACAAAATTTATGTTCTCCAGGAAATTGATGAAACGCCGAATGAAACTTCGCAATGCTCCGATGTGATTACGCTCGAGTTCACCAGAAGCACACCAAGTCACACTTCGGAACAAATGAGTAAGCAGTAGTTGTGAATTAAATGTACATTCATTTTCTCCTGTTAATAATTCAAAATTGGAGAACAAATTTGAACGCGGAAATGATCTTCAAAATTTGTCCCTAACACTGAAGATTATGGAGAAGTATTCAAAGCTCTTTTCTTTGGCTTAAACTTAATGCGTTTCTGTTGACCTCTGTTCATACATTGCGGTGCTCTGTCTTTCGCCCCAACTGGAGGTCCATTGCACATACGTTGTTTCTAAACTGAGCTGGATCTTTGAAAGATCAAAAACTCGATTGATAAAATTTTGGCGGTTACGCTCTTCTCCAAATGATCCGTTCATTCGAGGAGTAGCGCGCGACTCATTGCGAAATTTAGTCAAATTGTAAAATTCCGAATTTCATCGGTGATAAGTGGCTGGAGGCCGGATCAGCGAGAGAGATGTGTGACGTAGAGCGAGGCCGCCAGCGGCTCAATTGTTGAATCGATATCTAATGACCTTGATCGATAGAAAGCATTGATAAGATAGGGATTTATCGATCAGGATAATTCGATATAAGGCATTGCTAAGATAGGGATGTCTCGATCAGGATCATTCGATAGAAATCATTGCTAAGATAGGGATGTATCGATTTGGATCATTCGATAAAAAGCATTGCTAAGATAGGGATTTATCGATCAGGATCATTCGATAACGATTGGAATCGACCCGCGAGGTCCGGGGTGGCCGGGTGAGGGCGCAACCGAGGAGGGAGGGAAACCCTGTGCCCAGCACTGCCGCACAGCGGATCAAGTCAGTGAGAAAAGTCGGACATGATTTAAAAAAATTAAAAGCGTATATCTTCATTGATATGAAATTTTGATGTATTAAAAGTAGTCTCATTGGTTTTCTCGTACACTGAAAAAAAAATCTCGGTGTATTTACTAAGAAAAGGGTAAAATTACCAAGAATTCAGGGTTCTATTTGATCCCGGTTTTTTCTTGGTAAAATTACCATTTATGGAATTGGTAATTTTACCGAGAAACTCGGTAAAATTGTTGAACTTTCTCGGTAATTTTACTGGACCTCGGTAAAAACGCCAATATTTTTTATCAACTATGGTAGAATTACCGAGATAAAATGGCAAAGTTACCGGGAATTGATTACCAATAAAAGTGGTATTCTTACTTGACAAAAACAGTAAAAATACCGGTTTTTAGGTAAGTTTACCAGTCTGCCTTGGTAAAATTACCAATGATTGGTAAAAAAAGTGAGATGGTAAAGGTACCAACTGACCTTGGTAAAAACGCCGAGAATTTTTTTTCAGTGTAAAATGTTCTATGAAAAACACCCCTTAACATTAGAATTGTGACGAGATAAACGTAAAATTTTACCATTTTGGTCAAATAGTTCATGTCCGACTTCCTCCAAAGACTCGTTCCACTGTGTGCCGTGCTGAGAAAGAACACCGTATGAGTAATCAGGCGATGCCAAATTTCCTTCGACAATTCAAGAATTTCCGGGAAAATTGGTGAATGTTTCTCTTCCGATTTTCCAGAGGATTCCGCCCGTAACTTGATTTGAAAAGTCTGACAATTTCAAGGGAAAATATCCATAACTTCCTTCAAAATTGCATATTTCCCGAGAGGATATTTTGCAAGATGCGAATGCTCAAACGGCGTTTTGGCTCGGAACGGCGTTCAGTGGATCGAGTCAGAGGTCGGACACGAAATTTTTGACTAAATTTGCAAATTTTGATGTTTAACTCGTCACTTTTTAAATTATAAGGGGTGCTTCTGAGAGAAAATTTTACGAGAAAACCAACGGGACCACTTTTTTTAAGAACCTCGAAGTTTTTTGTGAACGGAGTTATAAGCGTTTTTCCAAATTCCGTCCGATCTCTCCCATTGACTCGATCCGCCGTGCGGCGCACAGTGCATCGAGTCCATTAGAGAGTTCGAACATGAAATGTTTGACTAAAACTGCAAATTTTGATGTTTAATTCGTCACGTTTTAAATTATAAGGGGTGCTTCTAAGAGAAAATTTCACGAGGAAACCGATGGAACCACTTTTAGAACCCCAAAGTTTTGTATGAACGGAGTTATGAGCTTTAAAGTCTCCCAATTTTGTCCGACCTCCCCCATTGACCGGACCCACTGTGCGGCAGAGCGTATCGCGTATCACGTATCACGCGCCCGCGCTCCGGTTTGAATGAACTCGTGTTTTTGTTATTTATCAGGCTTAATCTTATCCGAGAAGAAACGGCAATATTCGACACTATCGCCAACCGGGGGAAAGTTCAAGGGTACGCTCCGAATCATAGTAGCCGCTACGGACCCCGATGATTGATGCGGGCGCTCTTGATCGGGACCCGACCCGCCCTCCCTCCCCCGACGCTTAAAACCCCCTTTTCCGGGGCTCCCTCGCCCTGAAAGTTCTCCATATTGCACAACTGAGAAAGAAAGTTTCGTAACGGATTCTGATCCTGGGCTCATACGATAAAAAAACACTAAAAATGAGGCCCGAGCTGCTCAAGACAAGATTGTAAAATTGGAGTGTATGGATTTGATCGAAAAATGAAAACGTGAATCGAGCGAAAAATTATTAAAAAACCGGTGTCGATTCGATCGACATGAATGGATCGAAAAATGAAAACGTGAATCGATCGACAAATTATTAAAAAACCGGTGTCGATTCGATCGACATGTTTGGATCGAAAAATGAAAACGTGAATCGAGCGACAAATTATTAAAAAACCGGTGTCACTTCGATCGACATGAATGGATCGAAAAATGAAAACGTGAATCGATCTACATGAATCGATCGACAAATTATTAAAAAACCGGTGTCGATTCGATCGACAGTAAATTTAATAACACCCTTGTCGATTCGATCGACATGCACGGATCGAAAAATGAAAACGTGAGTTGATCGACGTGAATCAATAGTGCTGGGTCCACAGTATCTAAAGAGGATAGCAAGGTCAGGAAGTTCAAACATTTCAACATTGCATGTGCGTACTTCGGTTCAGCTAACCGGAAAATTCGGTTACCTGAACTGGAAAAGTCCGGTGTTCGATACGAACCCAAGTTCGGAATCTTTCACTACACTTTTTCCCTCAGTACACCACTCCTGAGTGGAGTGAGTTACGGAGTCTCCATAACTGTTTTATTTTCGACTTTCTTGACTTTTCCTCACTTCTTTTGCTTTACGTAGATTCCAAAATGTACACATTCCTAGGCTACACTGATAAAAATCCGGAGATTCGTTTCATTCCTTCCCCTAATTCATATGTATTCGAGTAGTACTCTCCTAGTATCCTATTTAATGCGAATTGAACTAATGTGTAGGTAAAATCACTTGGGGTTAAATGAACTCGTACAGCGAATCCGCTTGCTCCTTGCAGTCCAAAGTTACTTACTCTGACCTATACTGCCGTGCTAAGGGAAAACACCGTTTAAACCTTCAGGCGTTGCAAAATTTCCTTCGATAAAACGCGAATTTCCTGGTAAACTTTTGAATATTTTCCTCCCAATTTTTCAGATAATTTTGCTCGTTAATTCACCTGAAGATTCTGAAAATTTTAAGGAAATCACTTTCCTCAAAACTAAACATTTTATCGAAGGAAATTTGGCAGCTCTCAAATGTTC